CCTCTCTGATTGCCTGGTGTGCCTCAGGGCTCTTCTCTTGGGCCAACATTTTTTGTTGTTTAAAGATTTGCCATATTATTTATCAAATGTTACTCATGCAGTTATAACCCCAGGGCAAACTAAATTGCGTATTTTTATCCTAACTATAACTGATGTCAAGGGCAGATAAGTTTGAGAAATGTCATTCACCCAGGTCATATAAACTCTGTTTTTTTCTTGGCCCAAACACATCTCAAGGAAAAAAAAGGACACGCAGCACTACATAGTGAAGCAGAGGAGAACACAGGAATGATTCAGTCTTACATATAGATATCGCAATGCCTCCTGGTGGGCAGTAGGGGGCATACAAGTTGATTATAGTCAATGAATTAACAAATATTCCAATGAATAAAAGTATTTATTCAAACAAATATTTCCTTGATGACGGTGAGTGAATGTTTGCATCTCTGATGCTTTACGTTTACAGGCTGCTTGAATTGATTTCTCAGTACTTAAAAACACAAATAAAAGGCTTTTTTTTTCTTTTTTTACAAAGGTAAGTTTTTTTTCATTCAGTGTACAAAGCAATGCTTTTCTAAATGTCCATGTACTTGTATTTACCTGATATTTAAATTCTAAATTTGCTGATACTGTTGAGTTTTACAATATTTATTGATATTGATCATCAAGTCAATACTTTACAAGTTGCCAATACAGAAGATAGATTTGAAGTCTCTGCTGTTATCGCTGAGGCATATTTATTTAACACATTCAAGTAAATCTTATACCCTGTAACAACTCCCATGGGTGAGAGATTACTATGCAAGGTCAGGCTCTAGTCACAGAGAGTTTAAATAAGTGTTAATGCTTCAGATTTACATTTCAAGGCTTTAATCCCCTCTGGAGTATTTTTCTTTCTATAATTCATAATGAAAAAAACAAATGAGGAAAACACCTATTCTTTTAAGTGTTGGTATTGTAGGATAAGTTTGGTGATTATAAGGTGCATATTAAAAGTGGGTGGTACCTGTGCTTTTAGCAGCAAACCCTCCTTAAAATCAAAGGCTGTGTTTTAATCATCTATTTTTTGTTGTTTAAACCCTTATAATCTGTGTTATGTAGAGATATAACACTGAAATGTATAATATTTTGGCACATTAAAAGGATACAGTGAGAGATAATTTATACACTTCTATTTGCAGCCATGTTAACATGACTGATCAGATTAATGTAATATCCAACATTTGTTCATCTAAGACGTTCCCAGTCTGCTGATAAGAAATCTTAACATTAATGCTAAGTCTACATAAATCTCTACCACAGCATTTTACAGCTTGCTCTACTCTCTATAATGAAGCTATATATCCCACTGCAGACCTGCCTGTTAAAGTCAGTTCACATCCTCAGGCCAATTATGTTATGAGCATGCACACAGCTGGGCTAAAACTCACATCTAATTCTCGAACAGTGAAGGGCTTTTTTTCCCACAGCCTGTTGCCCTGAGTTCTAGGAAAATATTTCTGTCAGATTAAAGAACAAGGTCCTACCAGATCTCAAATCTCCAACATTAAAGAGATACTAATGTCATGAATTAAGTAATGGCAACCATGCAGTCGAGGGAAACAGCCATCAGATTACTGTGCAGAAACGATGGTGGATTAACTTGCACTTCAGGCAGCTGTTTCAAACGGTTTTAGATCTTCTGAACCCTGTTAAAAGCGGCACAGCCATATGTACATTATAATGTAGTCAGGCATCATTATGTTGCATGTTGTGTGTGTTTTAAAATCGCCTGCGGGGATGTCAGGGTGTTACCATTAGTTAAACATTGCAGGGAGAAAACGCTGCCAGTATGGATTTAAACGCAATCCACAAACACGCTAGATTAACCCTATATCACTTATATGTCTAAATACACATTTCCATTTCTCCTAATTTTCCACTTTGATAATACCCAATAATGCCAAAACAACAGCCACTCTTTTAAAACGATATGGTGCAGATTACCAATACTGGAATTGACTTGAATGTGATCCCAGGGTGATTCTGATCTTATTTAGACCCAGATTAAGGGTCAAAGGGCTCAGTTTATCAAAGAATCAGATGAGCAGTCTTACACATGGCATTTGGTTCATCCTTGGGATTATATGCTCTCAGGATGCTACACAATCTTATCCAGCGCACATAAAGTGCAGAGGCTAAGGTTATTTAACAGATCATTTAACTGGCGACTTAGCAAGTATCAGTTGTATTTTTATTTGTATGGTGCGAAATCATAACAGAAGTTATGTCAGAACACTTAACAAACAGCTGGTCTAAACCACACCCAGTTGTTGTTGTTTTTATGACACTCAGTATTGAGGCACTTGGCAACACTTAGCAGTAGTAACAAGGAAAATGCTACTTTTTACAGGCAGAGTCAGATTCATGGTTAACAGCCATCTGCTTTGACAGGATGGGCCGAGAAAGTGGATGGAGGTGGATGCAGGGAAACTCCTAAAAACCTTCTAAAATCAACGGGGTGGACTGCATGTGTGAATGCAAACAGCTAAGGTTTCCATCCCAACTTTGTCTGGACTCTTCCCTACCTGCCTCCTTGAATAATATCTGCTGTAGCCAATGGGAGAGTGCTGCAGGAAATGTTCACTCTGAGGGGGTGGACAGGGGTGATGATGTCTTTATCATGTGACTGGCGTGAGCCTGGGAGAGTGGCGAATGACAGGATGGACAAGAAATCCAAAGAAGAAGAAGATGATGGAGAAACATTTTTAAGACTGGAACAACAAAGAGTTTGGCACATCCATCTATTGACATGCAGCATTGATATAAATGCAAAAACTGTCACCACAGTGATGAGTGCTGTTGCTTCGACAGCTGTCATGTAGTAAACATTACACTGTGGCTTTCGTGTCAGAGAGCCTTTGGTGTCATATCCTGCTTTCCTCTCCTCCTTGTCTAACATGCAAGACTTCAACTTGTGAGGGTGAGCAAGCAACTTTGGAAAAAGTTCTGGGGCAGAGCTCTTGAAAATTAGATATTTTCAGGAGTGCATGCATAAAAGAGGCAAAACAAAGAAGGAAATAGAGAGGCATAAACAAAACAACCAAGAGACTCCAGGAAATACAGACTAATTATAACAAAAGTCAGAGATTAAAGCAATATGTGCAATATATTCTACAATGACAACACTAATAAACTGCAATATTGACCGAATAAAGTGTTCAAAACAAGATAGTGAGAGTTCACAGAGAGTTTGTGTCTGCAGTGGTATATACAAAAGTGTGTGTGTATGTGAGTGTGTGTTTTGTGTCTGACTGTGCATATAAGTTTGCAAACTAAGTTTAAATCATATTAGCCCCCAGAAGAAGGATGACATTTCAATACCCAACCAACGGTCATATTTCCTCTTATCTGACAAATTTGACTGATATCAATGGATGTGTGCATATGTGTGTGTGCGTATGTGTGTGTCAGTTATTTGCCCATGGAGACAAACAGCTGCTGTCTACCTGGCCCACACCCAGAGCTACTTTGGCAGCGGTACAAGGCCTCATGGAGCAGTCTCACCTGCGGCTGCACAGCACATAAACCTGCTTCAACAGGAAGTTAACCGTGTGCACTCGCAGACCCCCGTCATACATGTGCTTGCCTGGGCACATTTTCAGAGCATGGCACGGCTGTCTCACACATGTCAGCACTTTCTTTCCGCATCTTTTCTTCTTCACTGGATGCTGGAAATCATTGTCGTAATTAGCTCTCAGCGTGGGACTGCGCACAACCTGCTGAACCAGATGATCGATTGATGTCAGAAAGTCATGATAGACGTGGAGAGTGCAGATGAGCAGGTTTGGGATCTGTGACAGTCTGAGATCAGAAAATGGCAGAATGGTTTTTCAAGTTGAGTTCAAATACAAAACACTGCCCACGACCTAGGAGTTTGCTCGTAAGGCAGTAATGTTGATAAAGTTGATGACAAAGTATTGTTTGTTGGTGCTTAAAGCTCCTGTGAGGAACTTTTAGTTTGCTCAAATTTTGGAACCCCTCAAAAAACATATTCAAAACACAGTCATCATGTGAACTGTATTTCAAATTTGCTCTGTGGTGTTTTTAAAACAGTGTATAGTGTAAATGTAAAGAATAGGAGAACGAATGAAGTAAATGTTGAACATCAGGTCATAAAAGATTAAATATGATTTGAAATGTAAGAGAACAAATCAAAAGTAAATTGTGTTAAAGAACAGAATCTATGTCAGTAGAAAAAAATGAACATGGTACATTAAATATTCATCAAAAAGGGATGAGAAGATGTGAGCCAGAGAGTGAATATGGATACTGTAGATAAGAGAGAGCGTCAGCAGGACTCATTTGGATTTATGATTCTTAACAAATATTAAGTTAACAAATACTCTCATGTTCCAGTGTAACCACAGAAAAGGTTATTTATAATTGAAATGTTTGTAGTCTTCACAAAACAAAAGAATCACGAATAAGACGAGATTTGGAGTGTATGAGTGTGCAGTCTCTGTTAACTGCGCCATTGAATTAAAACTACAGACTACTTAAAAGCTGGACAAATAGGCATCTACCTGTAGATGACAGCACATCAAAAGTCAAAGAAGAATACTGTTAAATCTCATGTCATAGGGGACAAACTTAAAAGTGTGCAGTTTGACATGTTGTAACCACACAGGAGAGAAATTTTCATGTGACTTTTTACCACACATAATTATAATTGGCTGCCCTATCACAGCAACAGCCTGCTAATTTTAGATGGCAGACCGTTGCCAAGAAGAACTGACCGTTGCTAGGGAGTCACAGACCCTGTAAGGCAAACTGTAATTATATCAATGAGCAGAAAAAAAAGTCTTATTTTAAAGTAAGTTAAGTCAGAAAAAACAAGAAAAGAGATGAAAACAGCAGGATGATATAAGATGAAAACCTGTAGACTAAGGAAGAGAAATCTGCAGAATTGAAGATGATGAATAAAGCACACTAAACAGTGTGAACATACTGCAGAACATGCTATGGGAGGCGTTTGAAGGTATGATAAATGGAAAAGAAATGCTGACTATGACTGTGATGAGCCAGGAAAACTCCATCAGGTGTGGCACTGACTCATGTGATCCTGCTCACCTTGTTTCTCTTCACCATCAGTGCAAATATTCAGTTTCAGGTTGGTAATAACATAAATGTTAGCTCATTTTCTGAGGGCTGTTGAATTAACACTTAAAATGGATGGAGCCCAAAATGTGAGTGTAACAGACAACTTGGAACCATTTTGAAATTGACTAAATTATTTCCACATCAACATTTGGTATTAATGTTTTGATTTTATGTAGCAGTGTTATTAACAGGATGTAAAGTGAACTGGCTGATCTGATAGAGGAACCCTTTCAGACCTTTTCGGGATTCAAGCAACTAAAACAACCTTGTCACTGCCCATTATCCCTTACATACTATGATGAAAGGCAGCTGCTAGAAAAAGCAGAAAACAATACTTTCATCAAACTTGCTTTGGTCAGAATGCTTAATACACTAAATCCAACTGTGTGCCAGCGTTAACAGGAATTATGAATCACTGTTTAGAGTTGATGGTCTGGAGGCCACACAGTTGTAGCAGTTGTGTAACTTGTAAAAAAAACACACATCAGTGTAGATTTCAGTAAAGTTCAGCTCGTGGAAGTCTGGAAATCATCACTTTGATGTCCTTTTGAAGGCAACATTAACTCCAAAGAGGCCCGATCTCCTTATGCCCAACTGCAGGTGCATTTCTGGGAAAAAAAAAAAAAAAAGCAACATTATTTCATACACCAATTGCCATAATGAAAACATATGTTCCCACAAATTAAAACCACATACTCAAGCATGGTATGGAAATATGGACACATGTGCTGAATTGCATTAACAGAAGGAGCAGAACTGTGGGCTGGAAGTAACCAGAAAGGATGTGAAACCTGTGAGTACATCTCATACGCATGACTAAATGGCGCAGAAACTAATATGCATTTTTAATTTAGTTTCATCCAGTTAAGGACTCTTCTTATGAGCAGCACATGTTTTATACACCTCTATTCGCCTTTGGGGTCCCTAACAGCTCAATTCATGGTACACAATGTGGTTAAAAACTTGAGATGCTTTTTTTTTAAGAAACCACATGAATGAGAGCTTGTCTGAAGGCACATCAAAAACTTGAAAACACCTTACAATAAATGTTGAATTTAAACAGAAACATGAAGATGAAAGTGTTGAGCATGGTGCACAAACAGTCTGAACATACTCTCTTTTATACTTTCTTTTGTTTTTTAGTTTTTCTTTTTCAGTTGGTTTGAATTATAAGGTACACAACAGAAGACTGAGTGTGTCAGTGTAAATTTCCTTCTGGGCTTTTGTCTCCTCAGAAGAGCGACACATCTCTCTTCTTCTTAAAGGTTATTCAGTGACAGCAGCGTACAGGTGTGCTTAAAATGTCAATGCTTCCTAATGAAAGGAACAGAAATTTAAATCACAGCGATTAAGGCCGGTAGCTCTTGGTTGGCTGAGTCTGTTCACCCTGCTGCAGTTCACATGGTGCAATTCAGTGTCCGTGCTGATTCCACAGGCAGGCGTGAGTGACTCCAGCTCTGCTTCATTAGCTGGACACTTCCTGCACTCAAAAAGCTGCACATGTACATTAAATAGTAATGTGTGGAAGAAAAAAAAGGCAGTTACAGGGAGATATTAGGCGGAGGAAAGGTGTAATTTGTCAAACCTGGCATTTTAAATGAATTTGAAAGTGGAAGATAATGCAGCTTCAAGAGTTTTCTGCCCGTTTTCGCTCCCTATGTTCTCGCCTCCTCTTCTGTGTTTGACTCCATCTTGTGAAAGCAGCAGCTTCATCTCAGCAGGAGCCCGCTGCTCCGAGGCGCTAGGCTACCAAGCCAAGCAACGTAAACACGGGCTTCAAAATGAATACTCAATGCTGCGTGGACTTTGCCATGGTGCCCTGCTTTGAGTAACATCCATTGAAATACTTTCCAAGAGGCCAACTGTGGAGACACTTGATTTATGAGCAAATATTTAAAGACTTTGTAAGATCTGTGCCTGCAATTTGAAATACAAAATATGCAACACAGTGACAAAATTAAGTGTTTCAAATTAGAGGCTTTGAAAAATGAGTCGTACTGTTGGTGTGTTTATCTTTGCTTTGATACGACATGCACCAAATGGTTAAAGAGCAGCAGTCAAACTAAAATCCAGTGAAAGAAGGACTTTACCTCTGCAACTAGGACACCTGCTCTGCAGACTGGTTCAACCCAGCCCCCTTTTTTTTCTTTTTTGGCTTTTCTAACGTCAGCAGAGCTCTAATTAAACAAAGACGTGGCCACATGTTGACAAGACTGAATAATCCTTTAAGCTCAAAAATGTGACAGCCATTGTGGGTCTGATTTAATCTGCTTTTGGTATCTGATAAAACGCATTAAGAAAATTTAACGGATGCATTTTCAAAACAACCTTTAGCAACTTTTTTGGAAGTACTGGTGGTGAATAACCAATGTTGTTATTTCATTTTCAAGAAAACGCTAACAAGTGTTTGGCATCTGGTTGCAAAGAGAATCTCTCTCTGCATCAGCTGACTACATTCACAGAGGCCTCTTTACTCTGACTGCACACTCAGAGTGGAGAACTCAATGGCTGATTGTCTTATTCTATGTTTAGTCCTAAAAATATTGACCAGGAAATTGTTCCTCTTTTTTTTTATTTTGCAACAGAACTAGACTGTTCACAAAACTGCCTCATTGCTAATTTTGTGGTTAAAAGCTTAAGTTAGCTGCTCAAATGTAGATAACTGACTTTCAAAGGATTTAACTGGAGCTAAGATCAAATGCTCCTTCAGATATTCACTCTTGTTCATGTTGATGTTACTCAACTGAGAAAAAAGGATATGCATCAACTAGTGCTTTGGTACTTTAGCCCAACCTGAGGCCTGATTCTTTAATAACTATGAGTCCATCTGGACATGTAAATTGACAGCATTTGGACACTTGGATAAATCTATTGAGAGCTGCTGTCAGGTTCCTGCTAAGCTGCCAGCAAAGGTGACAGTCGTGAGTTTTGCCTTCAGAGATTTAAGAACGTACAAGGATGAGAAGTTCAGTATGTTTGATATGTTAAACTATACAAATGAAACATTGAAGCGAATACCACAACAAACTCAGACTGTAGCAGATACTGCTAGTATGCTAACAGTAGAGTTAGCAGCTAGGGTTGTCACTATATACCAGTATTGATGATAAATAAGCTTACTGTAATAACATGAGTTCATAAAAATAGTCTTTTATGCTGGTTGCAATGCATGATAAGACCTAGGATAGATGAAGAAGAAGTAGTAGACTGCAACAGGCTAGCTGAAACAACCTTCTTTTATAAACCGATGTTCAGGTTTTATTGTGAATTCAAAAACAAGGTTAGAGCTTGTATCTCCTGGGGTTACAAATCAATCGGCCATTGATATGATCTAACCGCTCTTTAAACAGTCTTCTTTCAGTTCTGGATTTTAAAATCCACCAAACTTCAAAATAAAAGCATAGTTTGATAATGCAGATATGAGGCGACATAAAAGCAAGAAAAAAAAAATCTTAATAAAAGTATGACAGACAATCCATAAAGAGGCAATGTCCTCTCCAAAGAAGTTTCAGTTATGGGGCAGATTGTAATATTATTACAGTTAAATAAGGATATGTAAGTGAATTGCATCAATTAGTAAAGTTTATGAGGTCATGTGCCGCTCCAAAGACTATTGCCTTTATACATGGGGTGCTTAGACCACCAGGCCATTGGTGAGTTTTCCATTCACATCCATTCAACTTCAATTTTCTGACACAACAACAGGATCACTCAGAATTCGATGATGATAAAAGTCAGTCATGGTTCATTGAGTGAAAAGTGTGGCGTAAAGCAACGCTTTTCTATTTTAAAACCTCAGGCAATGGGAACTCGACTCAGATTCTTCTCTGATGACTCAACTTGGACCTGGACTTGAGTGACTCAGCCACAATACTGGTCTAACCACTTAAATTTACATGATTAACTACCTGGAACAAAATGCACTGACATTTTAACAGCATACCCAGCCTGACGTCTGATGAATGAAAATGGTCGGTCTAATTTCATCTGCTGCTTTCCTGTGTGATGTCAAATTGTTGGTATGTTGATTAAAAGAAAATTGTTTCAGTGGTTTTAAACTTCAGCATTCAAAGTAAAGATTTTAGTCCACTTCCTGACTGACTGAGAGAGAGAGAGAGGGAGAGAGAAAGCAAAAACTGTGTGGACTTTGCCATGATGCCAATCTGAATTATAGCTGTTGGAAAACTTTCTAAAAAGCCGACTGTGGGTGCATCGTTTCTGGCTCTGAGGATAGTTTAAGAGACTGTGTGGGAACCTTGTTGATACACTGAGATTGAAAATATGCAGCCGTAATTGTGACACTATGGAGTTGAGCGTGTAAAAATGTAAGGCTGCCAATAAATAATGAGATGTACAATAACCCCCTATCATTCACAGCATCCTACACAACCCAATCAATTTCCTAAGCCTGTGTTGACATCCTCGTGTGCTCTCTCCAGATGGGCTCGGTTTGTTTTATACTGCCGCCCTGAATGGATGGCTTTCTATGGCACGTAATGAGCACCATTGAGATGAGGTGAAGTCACTTAAGGGGCTGTCTGGGCAACACATGCAGCCTTCCCAAGATGTATGACCGCAAGCTGCCTTCCTCCTGGCTCACCTCCCACCTCCTCCCCCCTCCTCCTCCAGCCCCGGCTCTTGTGGTTAAGGGCCTTCTTCCTGCCAGAGGAGGTCGACTGTTGTTGTTGTTGGAATTGCCGTGGCCACTTATGAGGGCTCTCTCAATCAACACTGACTGTGGGTCTTTAAACGGGGCTGGGGGATCACTGGAAAATACGAAATAAAAAGAAGCACCTAATCTTGCATGCTCCACGCTCCCTCAGTCCAGAAAAATGCATTCAATTTGCCCAGAAAAATAGGGTAGAGGTATCCTTAAGAGTTTCATTTTGATACTAGGTGGGCAATTTTACTAACATATTTCCTTTCCCTCCCCTGCCCACTTGTAGACAAATGGGGGCACTGTAATGTTTTATCCATGATGGATGATCATACACCTCCACCAGGGAGGTGGTCAGTAGGCTTTGGGCATAATATATGGAGTCCACACTACAGCCTTGTGCCCAGACTGACAATGAAATGGAGAGTGCCATATTGCAATAATGGGAAAAAATGGAGAGGGAGAGGGAGAATAAGAACGAGAGGGAGGAGATGTACACAGGCCTCCAACAGGGAAGCAAAAGACCACAATCTGTTCTGGCAGAGCAGATTGAAACGATTACAGAGAGAGGAATATTCAGTTTGGGTTTTTTTTCCCCCTTCTCCACCTCATCTGTCAAGAAGAGCATCCATGCTCTGACCGAAGTGAGGGGGGGAGACAGAGAGGGGACAACAGTCACTGTCTAAACATGCCTTTGTGTTTTTCCTGTATTTGTGAATCATATGACCGGTGAAAGTGCAAACAAATGACCCAGTGAGAACGTCAGGGTTGGTCCTTGAATCTTATTGTTTGCTGATGGGTTTTCTGCAGTTATAAAACCTGGTTTAACAAATACAAGATGTGGGGAGAACTGCAAACTCACTTCTTTCTCACAACAGTCATCGTCCTCTGTCAGCTGTCTCAAAACATCACATCTTTATACGACGCTGATATGGCTGTCCCAAAGTCAGAACCTTAAATCTAAAGGGAGCTCTGATAATGCTGTCAGGGTCCCTTGGCTGTGGGCTTTATGTGCCTGAGATAAGAGATAAAACATGCAAAATCAGCCATCTTAAAACTCACTTTTGCAGACCTGCTTTTATGAGAGTTCACCTTTTTAAATGCATTCATAATTTCTCTTTTCATTCATCCGTTTTGCTGCTCTTAATCTCTTCATCTGTTCCTCTGTCTTTTAAGGATTTCATAATCTCACTGCCTTTTATTTCTTACATTTTTATTTCTTTTGTTTATCCTCTTTTTTTCTCAATGCTTCAGATCTTTTTTTCTGTTTTGATTTCTGCTGATGTGATGTTGTCCTCTTATGATCGTTCTGTGGCTCATTGCCTCTCTTCTCTTATTGATCTCTTTATTTGTATCGCTCCATTGCTTTAACTGCCTTTCCAGAGCTTTCTGTTCTATCACATTTAATCTTTTTATTTGTGTTTATACTCATTTACCTTTCGTGTCGCATTTTTCTCTTACCTTTTGTCATCTTTAACTTCTTTCTGTTTGCCCTGACTATTAAATATTTACTCTGTTATCTTCCTGAGTGCCTGCCTTTGCTTTGTCTGTCTAAACACTCTGTAAACGTCTGTTTTTAAAGGCTCTATAAAAATAAAGTTATTATTTTTATTATTCTGTCATCATTCCAAGAGTGGAAGGCTCAGATGGTGCCACATCCCTGAGTTTCAAGTTTGTTAAATGCAGAAACGTTGGAAATTGCTTCTCAAATGATGAACAACTGAGAAGAGTAAATAATGAAAACCTGAGGGAAGCCGTATTTTAATTTAAAAAAAAAAAGCAATAAAGAAGTAGCATGCACATCTGAAACTTCAATAGCTCAGTTCAGGACAGAAACTTGTTTTGGGTCGTTTCCCCTCATCAGACATGTCTGATGATCATCACATGTGGTGATGCTTTTCATTAAATTCACATTGAGGCAGCTCCTGGTGTGCAGACTATGACTTTCTGTTTATATTTGAAGTTGAAATTACAGACTGTGAACGACATGTGCAGAGTCAGAGTGTGGAGCAAAACTGTTGGAGCTCCCCCTGCTGACTGGCTGCAATATAACACTTCCATTATAAGTGATTAAATATGGCCCAAACTCAATAATGAAAATGCACATTAAATAAATCCTTTTCAAATGTGCTTTCTGTCAAACAAACTACGTTTTCATTATGCTACTTTTTATGCAAGTGTTCATTATTCTCATATATTTGGTTCTGTTGAGTTTTTTTTATGTTAAAGTGGATACAGATTAGCAGCTCTGCTGACAAATTCTGGCTCCTACAATAGTTCCTCTTAAAGAGGAACAGTGAGAGGAAACATCACAAACACTAACACAAAAGTCACAGAGCTTTCCACAGCCATGATTGTAACTGTAAGGGTGTGACATCAGTCCTGCAGCTACACCAGCGATATTGGCTCTACCAGTGCGATATGTTATTGTTCATATTATTTTGGCTTCAAAACTCACTGTTGCTGCAAATAAAGGTGCATCGCTCACTCTATAGACAGTCAGTGGTTCAAACAGTGTTTAATGAAAAACTCTGAGGCTGTTTTTCAAAGCGTCTTTAAATTGCTGCCAGTGCCAGCAATATCATCACTTTACCAAACATTGACAACCTACCCGCTGTCAGGATAAATTCCTCATTTCTCAACTTTAGTGTGTATAAATAAGATGTTTTTCTGCTTGCAGTATTTAGAATGATGGAAAATTAGGAATAAAAACAGTAACAGATAGTCTAAAGCTTGGTTAACCCAAGTATGAACAGGAATATCTTATTGAGAATAGGGAATATATGAAAAGAGAAGATCTCTTTCATTGTTTTGTTCTGTTTTTATTTCACGTTAGTTAAAACAGAGGGTGCTGCTTGTGTAGAGGTTTTGCCTGAAGAAAGCAGCTCAGGACCCTTTTGTCCCATGTCACTCCCAATGTCATGCTCTGTCCTCTCTAAATAAATACAGTAAAAGACCAAAAACATAACTTTAAATCCGTGTTAACACAGAAAAAACCTGAGAATGTCCAACCTTAATCAACAGTCACACAGAGTTCAAAAATATCTAAATGTAATGCGCATTTGACACACCTAAGTGAGGTATCAAGCACTGTTGCATTCCTCTATCCTGTGTGTGCAATACAGAAATGCATTCTGGGAATCATAGTGAAGACACAGGTTGAAGAGGTGGTTTGAAGTTTGGTGAGAAAACTTTATAAAGAGTCCTCACTGGATCTGAAAGCTGATTAAGATGTACGATGCCCCTAAGATATACTCTGCACCCATCTTTTTATGACACGCTCTGCTGGCTTTTCATCAGTGCTCAAAAAAAGTCGTGAAACATTTTCAGCAGGTCTGGTTCTTATAAATATAACACCAGAGGCCAGGTGGCTTATCCAGAGGTTTTGCTCAGCCAAGGTTAGATTGGAGGGAATATAGTCAGATACTTTGATATGATTTCTATTTGAAGAGGAAATGTCTGTTTAATCTGAGATGGTCCTTCACTTCAGTCAGACATGTTTGAGATTTTGTCTGTTTAAAGCTCCTGTAAGAAACTTTTGGGTTGGGTTGATTTTGGCGCCCCCTGTGGAAAAAGACACTACCTGATCTCTTTCCTGATTCTGTCTTGTTCATTTGTATGCAGAGTCTCTGACAAAAAATCTCACCCTCCTTTCTTTTAACTGTAAATGTATCATGTTAGACTGTTCTATGAAATACTGTAGTCTGTTTCTGGAGCATAGTAGAAATCTATACTTCCTACCCTGCAGCAGCAGCAGCAGATTTATGCATTAAAGACTGCAGCAGAGAAATGGTCAGTTTTCTTTATGATGGTCTTGTTTGCTGTAGAAGGCCTTGAAAAAGCATCAGTGCTCAACTACAGACATCTCCAAGGAGCTTTAAAAACACAAAAAAGATCTCAAGCTCATCTACCTTCAGTTTCTCCTCTCTTTCACAGGGATGTAAAAGCAGCTGGAAGTATCTTTTACATTATAATTTTGGCAGCACCTGCAGACATATACAGTATAATGTTATTTCCCATCTTTTTGTGCCTTGAAATGATCATTTTCCTCCATTAAAGAGGCTAAAATACGACAGTGTGACTTTGCCATGAAAATGCAAACAACGGCTCTTTTAGTCTGCCAGCTGTAAATCACTTTATGGCGTCTGACCCAGTTTCAACTGTGACAAGAATTCATAACTATATAGAAATTGTCAATATTTTAACTGATGGTCTGGTTTACTCTTTTTAGGTCATATAGAGACATCAATATTGAATTGGGGCTGTTGCATAGCCAGTTAAAATCCCCCCTCACAGTGGGTTAACATGCATATTTCAGTTCACTGTGATGGAACATGTTGCTGAAATGGCTGTCGTGTTACACCTCTGGCACACAAGGGGTAAACAGATGCTTCTCTAAAGATGTTAAAAACGGATTTATTGCAGAAGTGGCTGCAAAACAATAAACCCCAGTCAGAGCAGTTTGGCATGGCAGCTAAACATCTGTAGGATCAGAGAATTCAGACTGAACCGAGTACACCACAACAACACGTCAGGCTCGGGAGAAAAATGACGCATTAACTTCCCATGGTCCATTACGATGCATTACACTAGTGAGCCTGTCTCCTCTCCAATAGTTATTTATTCCTGCCCTGTAATTAGGCTCGCCTGCTAAAAAAAAAGTCGATTTGTTTACCCCGATGTTTCTTTCTCATTATGTCTGGAATACATCCCCGTGAGAATTACTCTGCATGCAGCCTACGGAGCAGAGAGGTAACCGGGTTGTTTTCTGCAGTGATGGATAGTTCTTGCTTTGTTCTTCAGAGGAAATAACGCTCACTTTTTTTTCCTGTATGGGTATCAGTCATGGAGCAAGAGCACAGTCATTTGCATGGACTGTAAATTTATTACCTGTGTCTGAACTGTGAACAGTATCCAGGTGTACATGATGGGTGTAATTCACATTTTGAATTTGCAAATTGCATTCAAATTTTCAAACATTGCTACACTGGGAACTTCATTTCCATTAACTCATAACGTCAGTCAAATCAGAAATGAAAAAATCTGCAGCTGAGCATTTGGAAAAACGGACATCGGTCTTTGCTTCAGTTAAAAATGAATCATGTAGTGTTGTTTCAAAGGGTACAGTTAAGTATAAGTAGAACAGTTGTATTAATGTTCAGTTTGGTCATCTTTCAACATGATTAAGAATCCACTTCCATGGTAGCAGATTTATAAAGCTGTATTTAACCACAGCACTGCTCTGAGCTACATTTCTCAGTAGGACAATTATGCTAAACTAACATTGATCAACTGATCATGGTGCAGCAATGAAAAACTAACCAGAGTCATTTTGCTGAATGAAATATGGATACCTAAATGATAATCTGATTTTCTTAAATTTATTCAATAGTTGTAGAGATGTTTCACTAAACAACCTCAGCCACAAGAGGAAAAGGGGAGAAATCACTTCCCATTAAATCTGGTTTATAAGACACAAGTTTCACACTTGAGACCTTGGTGGTGACTTTTTTCTAAGTGCTAAAAACTGCAGTTCCTCACGTGACCACTTGAGGCTGGCTGCAAAAGTACCAGAAGCCACATACACACCCATTCTGTAAAACATCTCTACTGTATAAGAAACAAACCTTGCTAGAGTGGGGAGTGGGGGGCACACTGTGGCTGCTTGCAAGCTTAATCCCATCGCTTTGACTCAAGCTAGATTGATATTCTGGAGTTTACGGTCATAAATTGGGATCCCTCACTTGGGGACCATGACTCTCTGGTTTGGGTTACAAATTATCTGGTGTTAGTCTGTCTTTTTCTGAATGTAAAAAGCAGGGACAGACAGTACAATCATCAATTATGCCCATCTGAACTCTGACATGGTTGCTTTAATGATTTAACAGTTAAATCCATGAGCTACAGGACAATTTGAACCTATCTGGTGAGAGATACACTTGTTTTCAGTCAGTAATTATCAATGATTAACAAGGATTTGTTAGAATTCATTCACACACAAAACACAATCATTTTCCAAAGCCATGAGCCTGTGAGCAAATTAGGGTGCTTGAATGCGGGGTTCATAAGGCTAAATAACAGAACGGTTAATCCTACTGTATTGTAGCTCATATTAAATGGATATGAGGGAGAGGGGTCAGAGAAATCAATGAGGCTAATGCACGGGTCAGTGTGTTAAAGTCTGTCAATACAGCATGAATAACTGAAACCAAACAGCCATCCTCACTTTCAGACTTTTTTTTTCAACAAACGCGAGGCATTCAGAGGTGTAAAAAAATAAAAAGTAGGCCAGTTCATTTAAAGGTATCAAGCCACAGAGAAAGAAACTAAAAAAAGGGTTATTTTTGGTGTGTTTCTCGGTTCTAGCTCTCCAGTTTTTCTTCAGTGTCTGATTCAATAACAATAATAAAAAAAGGAAGTGATATACAGATCACCAACTGTCTAGCGCTGGGAGGCCTTGCATGAAATCACACATCTTGGAGCAGTGTTGCTCGCAGCTTGTCTCAGCAGGCTCCTTGTTAACAGGATAGCGCCTCCAAATCTGCTCCTGTAACACCTCCCAGCACGGGTCATTACAGCAGAGATCACTCCTGATGCCCAATCAGATTGTAACACAAAGAATTTCCGCCAGTCATCAGGCAAAGCACAATGGGACAAATACTTATATGCAGTCAGTGAGCGGGCATGATAACAATACCCTTAAATAACATGCAGACGGGCTGAGAGGGAATTAGGAGGGGCTGGCTTGGCGCTCAGGCAGGCATCATTATCACATGGACCGCAGATGAATAGATTTGGTGTGATAGTATGAACACACCCGAATCCATGTGTGACTGTGCAATTACAGCACATTTACTGCACCAGCTGCTGTATAAATCGAGGCGTGTGTGCAGCGTGGTGTGACAAACGCTCCCAGGAGATGAGTGGTTGCTGGCTTTGAAGGTGAAATATAGCAGAAATATATTCACACTTGAAGTTGTGTTAAGAGAATATTAAGTCACTGATACGATTGGACGATACAGGAATGTTAAATGAGATCATATCAGTCTAGTTAATTCAGGATGAATGAATCCCTGGACCACAGTGCGTTTAAAGACCTGTGAATGTACTCTGTTTACACTCAAATTCAATTATTAAACATAACGTAGCCCCACTCAGTTAAGATGAAACTACACACACAGCAACTCCTGAGTAAGCAACGAGGACTGAGCAAGAAATAAAGGTTTGTAGTGGAGCTGTACTGGACTCACAGCTTTGCCAGTTGTCTGTTGATATCAGTAAACCCATGTGATGGACTGTTAACCTGCTCAGGGCGGACAGCATAATACTGTTCACCAAATGAGGTGCATTAGGCTCAGATCCATAAGCAATGAGAATACTGGGCAAACTAAATGGAAATATCACAGACTTTAAAGTGTAATATTTGCATAAATACAGAACTGGAACACAAGCTAGGCTACAGTTTCCTGCAGACAAAGCAGGGTCCAGCACCTGATGTAGTTCATTTTAAAAAGGACTCTGACCCAAGCACTCATCTCACTTAGGATGCACATTCCACTGAGACTGTTTTTCAGCGCTTAATTCTACCATTAGCAAGTCCATTTGTTTTTGCACTATGCGCACATGTAACACAGATGTGCTCTTCAGCATGCAGCAAAATCTAATCAGGTCTATGATGTATGACTCAGTGATGTATTGTAAACGTTGAAGCTCACTCTGAAACTCACTTTTGGGGAGTTGATATTGATGATTTAAAGCTTACGCCAAGCTGATCTGGTGCCAGACAAAGAGAAGCTAGAAATAAGGGGACACAAAGATAAGTAAGGTGATTAAAAGGAAAGCTGTCTGGAAAAGATTATGTTTAATCCAAAAGTAAGCAACTGCTGCACTGGGCCTATAACCCCTGGTTAGCATAAGCTATCTCATACAAGCAGCTGCAAAGTGAGGGACAATATTTGGCTATTGCTTCAAGCCTAACCTTCATCCTAAAATGGATGGAGGGTTGGATGAATGGATGAATGCATGAATGGATACACAGATAAAGAGATGTGCAGATGAATGCATTTCTATACTATATGACTGGTTAGATGGGTGGATGGATGGATGGATAGATGCTTGGATAAATACACAGACTGATGGATGCATGGATGAAGGTAAGCAAGGTTTGGTTGGTTGTTGAGATAAACCCATGGATGGATGGATGCATGAATGAATGCATGGATGGATGCATAGATGAAATTCATGGATTGATGGATAAACTCAGCAATGGATGGATACATGAATGGTTGGATGCATGCTGATAGAAAGGTGGATGCATCAATATCAGATGGATCCATGGACAGATGCATACTTTATGAATGAATGGATGTTAAACGGATAGACAGATGCCTGATGGGATGGATGGATGAAGGGAACGATGAATGGATGAGCCAGTTATAATCTAGCACTGAATTCAGAGTACACTGGGGAAGTTTTGAGCAGCAGCACAAAGGCACAGTTTGTAGTTAGTCTGAGCCTGAATCACTTTTTCTTTCAAAGTTGTCATTACATTTGAAATGATTAGTTTTAGTCTGAACACAGATCAAAGAAAATGATCACCCACTAAATAGGTTTGGTGATGGTGGGATTATTTTTCAACAACATCTCGTTTAATTGCTCCCTGTAAAAGCTTAATCTTTCCACTGGAAACGATTTTAATGTGGTTCTTCAGTTTTCACTTCAGAAACAGATCTAAATTTTTCCTTCACTGCTGAGCTCCTCTTTGTTCTTTTGCCACTTGACACGAGTCGGAGGTAATTATGTGCCTGTGATGACAGGAAATCAAGCCAACTGCTCTCTGAGCTCCCAGAGTGCCTCATGGAAACTTTCTCCCTGCACTGTCACCATGCCTGGAGTTTGCTCCGGTAGCCTCTCTTTCACTGCTGACATCTTGTGAGACACTTGCAGTGATGCTGCCAATTAAGCTGTTCATAACCCCAAGATAGAGTATTTGGCTTTTTAAGCTGGATGCCAGAGTCACTTGATGGAAAACGCATTTTCTCTGATGTATTGAAGTCTTTTAGGAACATTACTATTCCTTCTGTGCACAGAACAAAGATCCCTCCTTTGACTAAAAAACTCACTCCCCCAGCTTGAGGCGGCTCTTATGAAGAGCAGAGGAGCAGTTTTGCAGATTTAGGGAGTCGAAATTCTTCATTATTGCAGGGACTTTTGGTTATAGACATAAACACTAGATGGAGGGGAAATGCTCCAAGACAAAACAGATTATACATAATCCTGGAGTGATATCTTTTTTTTCTAAAACTCTGCTCAAAATGTATGTTAGTGTTGAATCTGATAACCCTCACCATATGGTTGAAATTTAGACTGGATCAACGTGAGGAAAAGTGAGAACTTGATTTTGCATTTTTGACAGATTTTTGTCATTCTAACAACCTGAAATAATGACTTGATATACTAATTTGATGTCACCTGTCACCGTGTGTACTCCGGTTTCTCAATAAAATGTCTCAACAACTCAAACAAACACAAAACCAAGTGATGCATTCATAAGCATAATTATTAGATCCTTTTGATCTTTTTGGCTCTTCTACTGAGAAAAGACTGATTGTAGTTTCTTTATTCAAAACAACAACAACAACAACAAAACAAAAACTCAAATCCTTGCAAGTGTTTTGTCTTATTTCTAACAGAAAACACTTTATTAAGCTTAATTTAAGCCACAGTCACCCGACAAGTCCAGAAAATGGCTTTTGGTCGAGATATACACTAGCATGACAAAACTGTCCAGCAAAAGGGTAGGATCAGTTTGAGATGATCTCAAAACTCCTTACATTGTTTTAAAGATAAGATAAGATAAGGTAAGATGAGGTGAGATTAGATAAGATAGAACGGTATAACAATAGAGGAAATTGTTGCCTGAGTTACACAACAGAGTGTAAAATTTAATGACAGATGAATGTTTCAAGGTTGAGGGTTAAATGGAAAAAAAGATTTGCAGATCCAAAAATAAGATTGTACTCGCAGTTTCCAGGGAAGAATTATGGGGTCTGAATTCCCTGCAGGGAGGCTCCCTTATAAACATAATACTTCACCTCATTCTTCTCCTGATACTGTGTAACTTTTCTGAATGAGGTCAGTCATTTGAGATTTGGAAATATGAGCTTTTACAGCAACAAAGTTTAACTAACAAAGACCCAGAAAAATCTGTGCCAAAACTGCCGCTGCACAGGTTACAAAACTAGACAATACTTAACGTGCCAGAGGAAACAGTAAAAACCATAACCATGTGTATCCAAGCAGCAGCCTCCAGGGCTGAAAAATAAAGCCAACACAGAAGTGGTGAAAACTGCAGATCCTGGTGCTGCCAAATGAAGCTGGCTCAGAGAGCAGTCAATCCCCACAGATCTGTTTTTAAAAGTCCAACACAGAGCACAGTGAAACATTTTTACAGCCTTGTACCAGAATGTGTTTGTCTCAGTAGCTCAGTTACCCGCTCATACCAAATGACTGGTTGTTAATTTAACTCACTCATTGGAATTATACCGTGGTTCAAAGGGATGCATAATAAACACATGGCTGCTTTCAGAGACAGGTGGGTGACGCTAGTCTTCTGCCAGGAGTCACCTCCATTAATTTAAAGTGCTTCAGTTGACCTTGGTGTCCAACCCCTCTCATCTAAATATGGTCACTTATGACCCCCCAGAAAACCAGACAGCTGCAGCTGAGAGGTCTTACTCACGACTTCAGAATAGTGGTCCACAACTAATGAATGAACCAGTAACTGCCTGGATTTATTCAAGTATAAAACTGTATATTTTTTATCACTATTTTGGGGCATTTTTGCCTTTCTTATGGAATAGCTTGAGGGAGACAAGAAATGTGGGGAGAAAGGAGAGGGGTTGCCATAAACCACATCATGCCAGCTTGGAGAATCCATCCTGATAACAAATTTTTGTGTTTTTTTTCTTCATCTGTCAAGGTTTTTTTCTTTGCTCAGCTTCCAAGTAATGCATCCATGCTGTTCAACTTCCAGCTCAAAGCCTGGCGTGAAACCACTGGAGCGTGTGCAGAATGCTTAGACCAGTTTCAGTCTGATTTATCTGTATGCATGGAAGAGAAACGCCAACCAGAGTTATCTAGGTATGTTAGTCTGATTATGAGGAGCCTGATTTAGTGCGATTTCAGTTAGACTTAAGAGTTTAACATGTAAGAGAGATGGATGAGCCAAAGAGTGTTGCCTCTGTTTATAGGACCCCTGCTGAGCTAAACTAGAGCCCATAGACACAACACTGATTGACAAACAGGTAGTAGATGTGCTATTTCACACGGATCCAGCAAAAAACTTGGTTTTCTGTATGTTATATCATGATAAATTTGACAAATGTTCAAGTTATTTCTTACAGTAAAATGCCCTGAATAAAAATTGTGTAAGGGATTTTATATTGAAAAAGCAAATCTGCTCTTTGTCTTTCTTCAAATTGTGTCAAAAAAAAGTTTGATTTCTTTGAATGATATCAAGTTTCTGTCTACAGGTGTGGTCACATCAAATATGATTTATCATTTTTGCTGTAGAATCTGGTGACAGTCGGTGTTGATGGGATAAGCGACATTGATACTGTCCAGTCACTAATACCATCGCTGTCAAACTGCACTAAAAGTAAGTGCTCTTTCCAGGTAAGCAGAAGACAGATCATAACATACCTTAGACTTGATGAGTGATGGACATCATGGCAGCTTCCCAAAGGTAAAGCCAACCTTTTAGAGCTCCCCCTTCTGACCGGCTGCAGTAAAACCATGGTGCTGGCCTCCTTCACTGTAACATAATGAAACATGGGTCAAGCTTGGAAACTAAAATACTGGTCAATTAAATTCACCTTCTTCTGTTAGATGACATTTCTATTATAAAGGAGCTTGAAAAACATTTATTTTATGCTATAGAGAGGGAATGTGATGTAAATTCCTGGCTCTCTGAGAGAGAAAGAACAAAACACGAACATTTTTCAAGCTGGCACCAGAACCTATCATGCTTTGGACGGTACCTGAGAGATCTTTGCTGTTAAATAAAATGTGCACTTTAGGGAGTCTAGCACCATATCAATCTGCCTATGTCTTGGCTCCAATACACGTTACTAGCTCTATCAGTCTCTACCGAGTCTGGCCTCATTTATTCTTAAATAGGAGATGATTGAGGCTTGTCTTCCATAAATCTGGTAGCACTAACATCACACATTCAGACAGATCTCACTATATGAAATTGTGTGGCTCTGAACCTTCGCTGCAGTTTGAAAGTAAGGAAAGTTTTTGCCTGCAGCTTTATGAAGCATATTTACACCTTGAGATTTCTTCACAGAAGACATTTTGACATGTCACAGTAGGAAGCAGTGCCTTCAATTTCAGGCTCCTTCTTTTGTGCATCGTAGCACGCTGTCACTCTGTCAAAGCTTCCTGGGACTCTTGAACTCAACAGAACCACTGTTAATAATACTGGTATTAATATTTTCTTGCTTTGACATTGACGCTGTCAGATGGGAGGGAATCCAGCATAGTGAGTCTGTATGAAAAATGACTATCAATCACACGTTTGGTGAATAAGTTGGTTTATCTGTAGGTATACCACGATTATTTAGCTGTTCTTGTGATGTTTTATTATAACTTCATTTATGCTACTAATAAAGACTCACCTTTAACAGACCTTTGGGTGGAGCGCTTGAATCTGGATGGCATATGGTGGCCCCTGGAGGTGCACTTCAGGTTCCCATTGAACAGGTGGAAAATCCCCCCTCCGGGTTTCCGTAGAGTGGACGACCACAATGATCAGAGTAGCCCCAGTTGGCTTCGTCCCACACCTCATTCTTGCTACCAGATGACGTGCCAGAGAGATGGTGTGTTCGATGCCAAGGCACAGAGCCATACTGCTGACAGCTATGCCAGGTGGGAGAGGGAGGGAGTCGAGGAGGGGGAGGAAGGGAGGGTGAGGAAAGGAGAGGAGAGGGGGCGCCCAGAAGAAGCAAAGATGTGTTTTTGTCCTTATACAGGACATTACTGTGTACAAAACAATCACACACCACACACACTCACACATTTAAACAAAGAAACCAGTAAAACAAATCAGACATGCAGCTTTTGTACATTAAAGGGATATTCTGGTGTAAAATCAATTTAGGGTCAAACACACCATAACACCGAGTTAGACACCCCCTCGAGAGATGAATGTTGCCGACCACAGCAGTCTGAAGAGCCATAAACAAACCTCGACCAAAACACCACTCTATAGCCACAAATAATGCTCAGAACAGCATCTAACTTCATCAACTGTACACATCCCAGGCATAGCACTAGCCACCAAACATCTTTTTAGCTTTGCCTAATTTCTTTAGCAAAGAGACTAAACACAACTCACCTACTCTCTGCCAGCAGTCGCTTGTTTGTTCGAGACCTCAGGCTAATCCGTTACGCACTACTGCGGGGTGATGCAGCTCAAGGAAGAACATTTATGATCATTACTTCATGGAAATGCAATCAGACCGAGACACTAAGGTAGAAGAACTACCGCGTCTGCGTTGCAAAATGATTAATATGGTGATTATTACTTCAGGGAAATGATAAAGTAATGATCATAGATGTTCTTCCTTATGCTGCGTCACCCCACTGTAGTCCATAGACTGGCCTGAGGTCTGGATGGTCTCGCTGAGCAGCTGCTGGAAGAGAGTAGATGGGTTGTTAAAAAGATGTTTGGTGGCACACACAATTTTTGTCAAACATCAATAGAATTAATTCAGTGGGAAAGAAAACACTTATCTCTTTTTCACGCAAAAACAAACAAAAATGCTGTAAGGTAAATACACCTCCTATAGCGCCATCTACAGGCCTGGAGTAGTTCAGTTGAGGCAGCTAGATATCAAATATCTCCAAATTGCATTTTTCCTTTTATTGACTCGTAGCCAATCATTAATTTAACATTCTGCAGAGAGGTTTTCCCCTTGCACATTTGAGATTTTCTGTTGCAGCATGTTTCAGCTTCCAGAGTTCACTTCAAACAATTAAAGTGCTCTTCAGTCTAAAACGCTGCACCATCAAGTCCTTTGCAGGCTCAAAATATGACATGACACAGACAAGCATCCTGCTGTGGTTCTCATTCATCAATCACTCCAGCATCACTCAGGGCTCAGCTCTCATCAGCATGCTTCAGGACCATGAATCATTATGAGTATTGAGAGGAAGTTGTAAAGGTCAAGCTGGGAGCAAAATGAAGTCACATTAAGTATCGGCCTCTTCTGACATCTCAGCAGTCATCAGTCACGAGTCGGAGCCATAATGATCCCAAATCTGTCACCTCTGTCAACCTCAATCATTCTATTAAACATGACTGAAAATTGGTTTATTTAGGAGGGGCTCACACTCAGTCATGCAGCCACATGCTAATTCAAGAGGGTCTGTTAAAAATCCACTGCATGATAGTGGTATGGTGCCCCCTGTTGACACATCACCTCTGGATTTGATGGCTTTGTTGGCACAGTCATCCATTTCAGTGACATACAATTATATTACTTTCTTGATTTAGAGCTGTTCAAATAACGAGAGAAAATGCTTTATTTGGATGATACTTAAGAGAAACTTATGAGTCATTTAAAATAAAATAGAAGGGGAGAGAAATAAATCTAGAAAGTTGAAAGTCTTTGTTTTCTTTGTTCAGAGAAATACAGTGAGTCAGCATATATTGAAATTGTAAAAACAAAGTCCAAATGTGTCTTTCATTTATGATAACATTTGACTGTTTGCACACAAAGTGTTTTAGCTTCCTCTGTTTGTGTTAAATGCCTTTAGCAGCATTCAATGACTCGTGATGATTGATCTAGAAGAGTAAAAGTCATTGCACGAGAAGTGCTGATGAAGTGCCAACGGCTGAGGCGCCACATTTTAATAATATTTTGTTATTGTTTGACATATCTAGCATTAATTGGTCTTCCTTCTTCTTCACATGCTGTTGCTTTAATCGGTTTTGTTTCTAGCTTCTTGTAAATTTGTGCAGGCTGGGCACTCTTCTCTTCTGTTGCATGACATGTTGAAGAGAATAAAGTGAGACATCAGCGGGTGTAAAAAGTACAAAACTTCATTACTGTAGTCAGAGCAAGGACACTCCTGATCAATTATCACTTCAGTCCTTGCCTTTTAAACATATCCAAGTATTCTCACTGATTTTTTCCCCAAAAACATTTTAAAACAACAGAGACTCCATACCTAAGGACGAATGATGACCAGCCCAACCGTTTTGGTCCCTATGGTGGTAAACAATGTTCACTGCACACGAAGACTCTTTTCACCAACAATCAGAGTTCCTGACTGTCAAAACTAGAAATTCATGAAGTCTCTCGAATGCTTTCTGTCCATTGTCACATGGAGCAAAACGAGAACAAATCAGGAAGCAAGCTGAATGAAGAAGGATAACAATGTGTAACAAATGTAGTCATGGCAACGATATAATTGAAAGACGTAAACTGAGATGGGGGAAATATAGAAGCCGTATGTTGGTACATGGTGACAACACAAGTGTTTATACAACATGTGCAATAAAATGGGTTTCAGAAAAGTTAAAAATAGATGAGATTAGATTAGATTAGATTAAAATAGATTAGATTAGATTTTATGTTAGTCTGAAATTTGACTTGAATCCCTGCTGCTCCATTTAAAACTTGCAGGACAAGAAACATAAACAGTTTAGACAGCAGACAGCACATTCAGAGGCTTTCTACGTATTTTTACTCTGGGATTCAGCTCCATATTTAACTTAACAATGAACTGGTGTATAAACGAGTGCTTCAGGGACTCTGTATCTCAGATTTGACGGTCACAGTTTATATTTAGAGCACGGTGAAGGTTAGCAACAATGTTTTTACCCAGCTTTAGCATGTTTGTAGAGTCTCTGAAGTGGCTAACAGCTTATAGGTCGGATCTGATGGAGCAGTTTGGACAGACGTGTGGTATCACAGTGCTGTGGGTCTCTCAAAATTACAGAAGTAAGAAAAAAAAACCAAAAAAAAAAATTGTCCTCTTGCAACAAAAGATCTCTGTCAGTGGAAATAAATGATCAGTTTTATCTTTTTACAGAGAAAGTCAGAGTGATCTTTTCAGCACAACAAATCATCAATCATTACACCCAAGTATTTATAAGACAGAAGGAAAGAAATTTATCTGCGAAGTTAAAAGTAGTGAGTCACAGAAACAGTCACTGATAAATATAGTGGAGTTAAAAGTGCTTTATTCATCTTTCAGCTGTTGTGGGATAAAAGTAATACACTTCCCCTCAAAAACAATACTCCTGTGAAGGATGTACCGATACTTAAGTTTATCGACTTTGTCTACTTGTCTACGAAGGCATGTTCATGTTTTCTATTAAAACTCTATTGTATGATTATTACAAAGCACACACACTATTTGTATTGATTTTCTTTTCACAGAAGATTCAGTCCAACCTTGAAGACTGTTGTTGTGATTGAGTCATCATAATAGGCAGTTTTCAAGCAAACAAGACAACATTTGATTTATCTGCACTTCCTGTGTTTATCGCTGTTTTACACATAAAGCTCCACAAAAGCTTTTCAGATGCTTCAGGGTTAAAAAAAAGATGCATGGATGTTTGTGTGCTGGATTTACATGCATGAAATCTGTGCAGACGTGATCTAAACTCACTTGTTTCAAAGAATTGTTTTCACTTTGGTGGATTAAAGGGGTTACTTATAAAAATAGAAATGTGACAATGCTTCTCTAATCTATGCATGAACATCCACACTGGCCATCAGAATTAATCCCACTGCAACAATACATGCACTTCAAGCTAAAACCCCAACAGCTTGAAGTTGTAGAGCCATCAGCGGCTGTCGTCACACAGCAGAGAGGAGCTGGGAGTTCAGACGAGATAAAATGAGAGCGAGCCGGAGCTGAGCCAGCGGAGCTGTTCATCTTACAGACAGAAGTGGGAAAGGAAATGTGCTCCTCTCCACTCACCATGATGAATGGGCCTCTGTGAAACCAGTTAAATATCTTGTCATTGTGTGAATGGAGGGTGTGCAGCCAGGGTGCCATTTTCATATGATAGCAGTCTGCAGATGAGTTAATGATTACAGGCCGGGGTTTATGAATGATAATGAATTTAAGAATTACATCTCAGTCTGAGGACTTATCCTGTCTTTGTCAGAGCAGGCCAGTGAATATCACACTTTATCTCTTTTTAAAATAGTGATTCGATCAAAAAAGCAGACCAAACAATAAAGAAAGGCATTAGGCTGACATTTGTGACAAAGTCCATAAGTGTAAAAGCAAGAAAATCCTGGAGACAAACAAAAACAGTTGAAAGCAAAAGTAAAGCCACGATGGCACAAGATGCAAGGCTGAAGAGGACAGTACTATAGACTGTGTAATAAATGGATGTAGCTCTGGTGACGTCATCCAGAGTTTTGAAGTTTATCAGCGGTGGTCCTGATGTTAGGCCAGTGGGTATGCTAAGTCTGACAGCTAAGTGACTAGATGAAGATGTCACGGCAAAACAGACACTACTGCATGCTCAGGGGTGCTCCAATTCAGGTAAAAGCTCTATAACAACTAAAAAGTCAGAGCTGTCTTTGATTTTTCTGTTTTGTTCAGATCATAATTCAAGTAGCTGTTCACCTCCAGGCCTAATACCAACCGTGTTCTCTGCAGCAAAACAACAAAAACGATAACTTCCTTGCAAGGACTGTTAATAATGAAAATGAAAATTAATTAATGCATGACAAAGAACTGCTAACAGGGATGAAGCACACAGCTACTTAGACCTGAGATAAACCTCTCTCAGTGAAAAACATGACTTTTTAACATGCATATTGTGTGTTTTATGCATTTGCATAAAAAACTTTCTAAGCAGCCTTTCGAGTCAGCCTCAAGTGGCCGCCAGAGGAACTGCAGTTTAATGCACCTCTACGCTGAATTTTCATAACTGTTCATCTGCTGATACTCATCTTTGTCTGTTTCTTTTTCTCTGAGTCAAAATCTGTCTCCTCTCTCTCTCGACTGACCCTGTATTAACTTTTCTTTGTCATCTGTTTTTCTCCTGTCTCAAACTGGCTGATCCAATGTGGTTTTCTTCTCTCTGAGTGTTTTTTAGTCTTTCTTCTGCACTGTGTCTTATTTTCCCCTCTCTATTTTTGAGTAAGACTTCCAGGTCACACTGCAATGCCTCATTATCATCACCAACATCAACATCATCTGGTTCACCGGACTTCGCTCCCCACCTGCTGCATCCTGTAGGCTCCTTGTGACCTCCTATCACAGTGTACGGCTCCCCACTGTGTCTCACAAAACAGCAGCTCGGTCTGCGTCTCTGTGTGGCTGTTTGTCCGCTTTCCTCTGCAGTTAAATCAGGTACAACCAGAGAGGAGAGGAGCCTTTTAATGAGGCACGGCTGCTGGTTATCTGCCCTCTCACTGAAAAGAAGAAAAAGGAAGAACAGAAACAAAAACTCAAACTAGAAATCCTGAAAAATGCTAATGTTGTTGCATTAAACAGGGTTTACAGGATGTAAGAGAGTTATTAAAATTATCTCAGCATATGAACACACCATATTGACACTCATCTAGAGTGACATTTTTTTACATGCATATTCATATTTTGTTTTTTTAATTCATACTTTTAAATGTTTTTACCTTTATTAGACTGGATAGCCAAAGAGTGATGAGGACTATAACCTTCATATGTGGGGCGCTTGGACCACTAGGCCATAAACACCCCACATGTTAATACTTGTTTATGTTAGCAGTGTTTTTATTTAAAAAAATAAATGTTTTAGGAAAGAAAAGGCACTTTTAAGCCGTTTCCTACCTTTGTATCATAGTTTAATTTCATTTTCATCACAGCATTAAAATGAAAAATAAAGTTAAAGTCAAGATCATAGAGTATGTTTCTTTGTATTCGTTTGATTTTCACATCAAAGACACCAAGGATTGCTTTTTATCATTAATTTAGACTTGAAAGCTGTTCCGGCATGCAAAACACTAAAAATTTGAAACATGCAATTCATAGTGCTTTCTTCCAAATTTATGATTGAAAGTCTGTGATTTATCGTAATTTGAAATATTTAAAGTTTGACAGACCCAAAAATAACACTGCAGTTTGCCAAAAATGATTTTAAAAACCTTGCCAAATCATAAATAAAGAGAAGACGGTATAATTCACGTTTCCTTGGATCAGCACAGTGATGAGTTGAGATTTATATTTTGGCCTCATTTCAAGCAAAAGACTTTGGAGGTTATTTTTTAATGCTCAAGGATTAAAAACTTCTCATTCAGCTTTGTTTGTGCTACAACTGATAGTAACTTGGATTGAACAGGCACATGTTTAAGTAGTCAGACCAGCAGGCCTCCTCTAAACTATACAGATGGTATTGTAACTTTGTGAACTGGACTGGAATACAGCGCTGTCCTTCGCCTTTGTTTCTTTGTTTGTATCAGTGTTCAGTTTCACACTAAGAACTGATGTGCTCTACACAACTCCACAAATTTCTGCTTGCACATAGTTCAATTTGGTTGTTCCGTTATCGGTGCAATCTGGCAGACTGGACAGAGGTGTGTTACTCAGCAACAGTCGTGCTTTGTTTTTTCTTGTGAATGTATGCGACAGAGCCGGACACAGCTATGACTGTTCTCTGTCAGGTTTGGTACACTTCGTAAAGTTCCTGTCAACAAGTCAGTCGTAGCAAAGTCTAAAAAAAGTTTCAAAAGAAGGTTGAGGGAGACTTCAAAGTTCATTAAAGACCCTTTCAAATCTCAATCAGGCCACTTTCACTCATTACTAATCAAAATAGAATGGAGTTTTAATACTTCAAATTAGCTGTGGTTTATACTTGTTAGACAGTCTTTACTATATCTGTTAATACTTAAGTTAAAAGATTATAAACAAGACATCACATTACTGATTACTTTGTAAGCGATATGTCTGGTACAGGCAGGAGATCCTGTTCCAGCTGAGGGAGAAATGATATGTATGAATAAACTATGTAGACTTTATACAGTTGACTTTTCCTCTGAACTTGAAACACTGTAAGACGTGACATAAAATCATAATGAATGTCAAAAAGCTCCACATCTCTGATTGAGAACAGCAGGTTTGGTTCAACATGTCACTGGAGAACACAGCAAGGAAAACCAGTGGGACTGTAAACAAAGAGCATATGGAAACATTTACTGGATGTTCAGCGATAAAACACAGAACCAGCCACATGTCAGCTTGTTTTCAGAGAAAAGGTACCTACACTCCAAATGTCTGATTGCCTTGCAGGTGAAACCACTTCTCATGTGGTGTAGGAGGCCATCTGGCTTAGGACACACTACAATTTCTCAGAGAGAAGCCAGACCCCGGTTTAGTGACCTTGTGAAGTGAACTTTAAAGGAACAGTGAGTTATGAGTATCAGGAGGGGTGTTTTTTGTCTATAGAAGAAGCATTTGGACGTCATATGAAATGATTGGCCGTTTTTAAATTGAAGAAGTGACTCTCTGAACACTCGACCAAGCGAGACCCCCGTCTCTCAACTTTCTCATCGACCATCTGGACGTAACTCAAGACGAGGGAGCGGAGCCAAATTTAAACAATCCCTCCTCTGGGCTGTTGGGCTGACTGATGAGGTGCTACGCAGCAGCCCTGACCTCGCTCAGCTCTCTGCTTTTTCCAATAACAACATGCACTCATAGCGGCATGTCCGCACTGCCAGAGAGCATCGGCCCTGATATAACTGTCTCCATTACACAACGAGTCACTGCGGCCGCATGTGAGCGAAGCAGGGTGGGTGTTAAAGCGCATACCGCTGTGAGGCCCGTTGTATAGAAGCCACAGGACCTACAATAAAAGCCAGCAGTTGTAAAACATGACATTTGACAGTAGCAGAGTAACCTGAGAGATTTGACTCTGGATCTTGTGAATGACATAGCTGGAAGTAATGGCTGTGCGCTAATGAACGCTGGTGTTTATTTTAGCTGTTTAAAGTGGTAAAGCAAACACTTCACCACTGTCCCTCATGGTTACTCTATATCTTCAGCAGCTAGACAAAGCTGTGGGCACATTTCATTATGTGGCTCGAAATGGCAAAAGAAAACAACAGAGCTGGGAAAAGGCTGTTATATTTCAAGAGCTGCCACAGCACCCGTAGTGGATTTATCACAGTGACTTCCTTTCTCAGGTCCACACCACTGACCCATACCTCTCCCAGCACCTCCATTTGCCATGACCTTGAAAACAGCCCACCTAAATCTGTCTTAAATTACTTTGTATGACTGACTGAAAGCCACATAACCCTTAACTTCCTCTGCTTCAAACCCTGATCCCTCAAAAAGTACTGATGTAAGTGTAGCCTGGCCTGTAGAGCACCGGCTTTTGCAGGAGTTTACAAACACATACAATGGTTTTACCAAATCAGACTCCTCTAATATCTACTTAAACTACATTGAACTAATTTGTTGTGTATGACTGATGTTGATATCTCTCATTGGGTACATACTTGAGGCACTGATGAGACTCTGTGGGATGGTGAAGTGAGTGATGGCATCCTTTGGGTTGTCAAGTGAGTGCCCTCCTTCTTGCGTGTTTCACTGATAGGGCCACGACACCTCCAGAGGGTTCAGCAGTGAATCCCAGGATCCCAGGTTCACTCCCTCAACACCATCAACTCACTTGAAGGCCAAAGTTGGGTCCTTTCTCATGATCTAAGTCCACTGACTCCTTTTTTCAGCGTCCTTGGCGAGGTCTTTGACTGCCTGCCGGTGGACCTTTATTCGCACCCCCATCTCTCTGAGTAGACTGGATGTTAAGGTGGCTACAAACCCTCTGCAGCCTACTTCCACCAGGCGTACCCTCACTTTCCAGTCTCATAGTTGTTGTGCGTAGACTGTCTGCCAGCAGTTTTCAGTCCCTTGCTCTGCCCAGCTGCCCAGTGTCTGGTCCTATGGTGGTAATGCTGGCTTGACCCTTGCCCTTCTGGACAAATGATTTTGGCTGCCAATGGGAAGATGAGGGAGGAAGGGCATTCATGCTTGTCTGTTGACTTTCCAGCACTGCTGCAAGACACTTCAGCACCTAGTTGGTTTTACATCCCACTAAGATGTGCTTCATTGTTGCTGGACTTGGACATAGAGGGCTAATGGGGTCTTCGTCATACCACTGGTTTCAGTTTGCAGGAACAGGCAGGACATCGTAGGCAGCCCTGATGGTAAAGCTCACCCTAAAAGCCTCCATCTCTTTCCACAGCGCTTTCCAGGAGATCTTCCTCTTCTCCACTCCTTCCCATGCCATCTAAAGCATTAAAATATCAAACAGATACAAGATTACAGTGTGTATTGACTTTTATATTTTAAAAGTGAATTTTGGGCTCTTTGAAAATTCATCTTCTTGGGACCTATCACTACAACCGAAGCCAACCCCGTACAATAATTAAAACAAAGTCTCTATTATACAAGCGATGCAATTAAAGCTTGAAACAACTGAATCTTGAAAAAACTAACTTCGTTTGTCAGTTCCCTGGTCGATATCATTAGCTTCTTTTTGGGCAAATAACTTAACCTGGTTCAGGACTTTGTGGTAACACCCATAGGGATTTTAGGAAGCCATGATATTCTACAGCACGCCCAAACTTTTAAACAAAATAAGTACAGAAATGTGGATTTGTTTGGTCAAGTGTAACTCAGTCATTCCTGAAACAACTATTTTTTAGTACCTTTGCAAGAAATACACATATAAATGAAACAAAAAGAGAAACAAAAGGGACTGGATGAAGATAATAAATGAAACTTATGAAAAGACCTTTTTGGAGAATCATAGGTGAAAAGGAGGAAGGTTTAAAGTCTCCACAGTCAAAGATGAACTATAACCATGCAGATTTGTGTAACTCGAATGATAAGAAAGTTATTCAAAAGGCAGATAAGACCACAGTACATGGGTGAGGAGGTCACACATCCTCTCGGTATCTCAGACTTTCTTTCTGCAGCCTTCGTCCTCTCAGCTGCAGAGCTCCCTGTCCTTGCTTCAGCCTGAAGGGCTGCCTCCTACTGCACAGATTAACACTGCCATTTTATTCAAGGGGATCAGCCCCAAAGCAGGTGCCGCACTTATCCAATAATCTCCACGTCAGATGGATTACCTGGCTCTTAATCAATAGTTCGATTGACACATCCACATCAGAAATACAGCTCCCATTGAAGGGGTGCAGGTGTCTGCTTAAAACTGATGAAAGAGTTGAACAGTCAAACACATTTCTGTGTGCACTTTCTTTTTTCTGATGAAGAAAAGTCAAGGATGAAATTAGGAATCTGCTCCCCTCTGAGTGGCATTTCCTTCACCCAGTTCAGGCCATTTGAAATTGAGAGAACGAGACTTCAGCTGGCTCATAAAGCTGGTCATTAGAAGCACATTATAATTCCATCCATCATTCATGTGAACAGCTTCATATCACCTAATTCCTGGCAGGATATTTTTGGATCCGCTTTTCCTGCCCTCATACCTCCCTGCTGCCGTAATGACAGCAACCTGTGGAGCTGTGCAAACTGCAGATATGTTTCCGACGTCTCGCTCGCTGGCTCTGGCGGAGACTCCTTTGTGATAGGCAGTAAAATGATTAATGAGCAGTCTAAATGCAGCGCGAGGAAACTTCTGTGGAGAAAAAAAAAAAAAGGCAATTTTTTTTCTGTCTGCAACATATCGAGAGCAGACAGAAATGAAGGAGTCCAAGAACAGGGCCCTGAGGGACACCCTGCAGTCTCTGTAAAGGAGTTGTCTCTCTCTTTGAGTTTAAACAGGTGGCTCCCTGTAATAGTCAGATATCCTCCAACTCTGCTTAACACTACTGTAAAATATCAAGCTCTTGGCCCTCTTGTGTTCACAGCAGTGAGCGCTGCATTGTATCGGCAGCACCCCTCTGTGATTCTATTAGCTCTGTCATCGCTCATCAGCTAATTACTAAAGCTGCACATCTTCACTGTTGTTATTCACACTACTTTCTCTGGCAGTTACTTCCTACAGATCACCTGCTGATGAGTGTGGCAGATCAGAAATTACTTTTTGTTTTTTCTCTTAACGTCTGTATGATCATTGGGGCAACACAGCAGTAGACACATTTTCTATATTTTCATAACTTCCAACTCTGCATCTTTTTGTCATTCTTTATGATACACATTTTCTCACAAATATTCCTTATTTACATGCTGTTAATGAAATCTGGGTGTACAATAAATGTGCAGAATTTTAGGTTGGTCATTAGAAAGCACTGAAACATGTGTCAGTAATTCTTAATCTTCCTCATGGGGATCAAAAAAGCTTTGTAAGCTGGGAAGGCAGGTCAACAGAAGCACTAAGAAATAAAAACAACAAAAATCAGAATGATAAATTGTAAGAACCACAAATATAAGAGTGTGTTACATGTTCAATTTCTTAGTTGATGAAAGAAATAACCTAACCTGGCTGCATGATCTGCATGAGCCAGGTGTGGGGTGATAGAGGCATTACTGAAAAGAAGATGCGTCTCAGTGTCAGTTACACCAATTCTCAGACTAATAAAACCATATGATACAAAGTTTAATCATCCTCAGTATGATGCCTTCAGATCTAATCCTAAAATCGAAATATTTTAAAGCACAAACCAAAAAAAGCTGAAGTCTCCTGTCTCTGCTGATGCTGAGTCCACCTTAGCGACCCAGAAAAATGTATGAACGAGAACAAATAACAGATAATACATGTTCTGCAAAACACTAGCCCCAATTTCCCCCTGTTTTAAGCAGATATCAGGTATTTTTGTTAATTAAAATATAGTCTATAACCCCACAGCAAAGCATCCCTATGGAATAAATAGAAAATGTGCATAACTCTCAAAGCCATTAAGATCTGAAATAATCATATTCATGTATTTATTTATTTATATGTTCATTCATTTATTCACTTTTAACACGTTATTTTGTCTCATCCTGCTCCCTGCCGCCACCATTGAAATGAATGACACCACTGTACTTCTGAATGCCATTTGCACTTTTGAACTGTCAGACAGTTTAGTTAACAAGCCAAAATAATATTCACTTTGATTGAAAACTAAAAATGGAACTGAAACATGACTGACATACTCTGAGCTGCTATCAGGGCTGGACTGGGAAAGGTGGCTGATTTTTAGGTGATTTTATAGGTATAAAGATGTTATGAACTTTTTCTATACCTGAAAGTATTACAAAAACTTGTTACAGTTCAAAGCAGCTATGTAATTCTCTGTGTTATCTATTATTCATAGTCTGTACACACACCACAGAAGTGCTGCAGGAAGGATATTATGCTGCTCAATCATAAAGGAAACTTATATAAAAAGATGTATATATAACCCTTAGTTCACATACTGTTCTTTAGTTTCTCTTTTCTAACTTAAGCCGAGGTGTGAAAGTGTCCCCTCTGAGATTTCCTCACACGTCAGATGTTCCTGTATGTGAATATATATTCAAAGAGGCTCAGCATGTCGGGCTGATGAAAATCTCTTTGCACTAATGCATACATGCTCTCATTTGTAGATTCTAGATTCGCTGTAAGCTTTTTTCCCTCCTTCTTGATTCCTTTGTTTGACCTCGCCTTCACCATCCCTTTCCCCCACAGTGTTGCTAAGCAGCACACAACCTTAAAACACACACACACATTTTAACGTCAGCTCCATCAGCGTACCTGCTGGGCTCAGATTACAAAGCCTTCGCCTTGGTACGGGAAATGCCCCTCAGGAAGGCTGTATGGGAGGTAGAGTTGCCGGCTGCCTCTCCGAACCTTTTCACTCTGGAGTATGAGCTGTGATGAGCTGCAGTGAGGGCAGCCATAGTTAATAAAAAAAAGTGGAGCACATGGGAATCGGCTTTCTGCTCTGTTTCTGCTTTATCTTTGCAGGGTTTGTGTCCTCAAACATGTGGGAGAAGGAGTGTTTGCAGAGATTTCTGGACTGTTAAATGAAACAAAGCTGGTGTCGGGCTCGTGTGGTTTTCTCTGCCAACGTTGGATACAAAATGTTCTGGAACAATCCTCGGTTTCCTCTCTGTCTTTCCGTTTCTGCCTTTTATCCTGTAAATCCTCACAAGTTGCGGCATCTTTTGCCTAATCTAGAAAATATCTGCATGCGATTAAGGGTGTACTTTGAGTCCTGCTGTCTCCAAACTACAGATAGGTTGTATTTCTTACCTTGAGTAATGGTTGGAATAATAAGTAACTTCATTCCTGTAGAGGTGTGTGTTCATGTGAGTGTGCACAGCAGAGAAAGGCGATTCAAGATAAAGAGCTGCAGACAGAAGGAGAGGAATGTGACCCTTGTGGTTTTGACCTCCTTTCATCATCATCGCCACACACCATCAATCACCATCTAAACCTGCATCACGATGACTAAACACTGTCTCTGCTAATGAAAGGTGCACACAGCCAGACAGGGGCTAAAAAAAAAGAGTGACATGAAGATTACAGAGTAGAATAATGTCTTTTTCACCTGTTAGTGCTACCTTTTATGAGAAATAAGCTTCTGCAACTGCTTTAATAAACTTCTGGATAAAGTCTCAAGATATATTTTACTTAGCTGTGGCATGACTTATCCATACTCCCAAAGCTGCCTCGGGGATAAAAAGCTTAACAAAATAATCAATCACAGCTTGTGGTTATAAACATATAATTTAGCCACTGGAGTAAATCAGTGATACGTTTCCAGATAAACAGGATGAAAGAGCAATTTGGGACATCTGTGACCGGCCAAGCTGATTCAAAAAGAGGTTGTTTGATATATGGCAGGATGTTTGAAGGCCTTTTTGCCATGAACCGTGCAATGAGAGTAACAGATTGTTTTATAATCAGAACCAGTCAGAGTGCGGTGTATACGTTATTCTCTGGTGGATACATTTAGCTCGGCCTTGCCTGTGTCACCTAAATACATCGCTCTGTGTCACACAAACAAAGTGATGTTTACAAGTGAGGAGGAAAGAGGTCTAAAACATGTTCAGCTGAGGAAACTGAGGGATGTGCAGCGCCGACAACCCCGTCTTTTAACACTTATATCAAATACCCTGGCAGTAATTTGCAGGCCGAGTTACTGCGCCGCCGGTTTTTCTTTGCACAACGTTGGCAGGCAGGCTGATCAGCAGGGAGGAGGAGATGTGTGCAGCCCCCCTGTGTGGTGCTCCACTGCTCAGGGTTTAATACCTGTTGAGTGGACAGAGATTTAGTGAGCTTGAGCGCCGCAATCCCAGCTTATTATTGTACAGGTGCATCTCTCCTCTCAGGTTAAACTGGCCTCAGGGCAGCTGGCAACGCTAACTGGAGGAGCTTCAGTCTGCTGGAGTCAGCTGGAGGGGCAGTTTGACTCTGTGGCAAAGACAGGGCTAATCAGATACACAAACAGGATATTTAGACACATAATTAACAGATATGTCTTTGTTTTCTGAGTCTATATTTTAGGGAGAAAAATAACCCTCCCTCATGTCACAATGAAGCACTTGATTGGTTGATTAATGCTTTTCCAAATCCAGCCAATGGTCTATCGAGTTTTACAGCCAGTTTTAGTCTCAGTGCAAATGAACCTCCAGTGAGTTCAAAGACTTGACATGAAAAAACCCTGAATGTTACATAAAACATTTATTGAACTGCAAATTTTGCACATGGTCCAGGGGAGGGAATCAGGTTAGCTGAGTCGCTGATTTCTTCCCTTATACATAATTTTATCGGCGAGCCTTTTCTGATTTCTCTCAAATTAATTAATTTTCCCTTTAAAGAGTTTTTTTTTAAATCTTTTAAAGCCCTTTTAAAATTTTAAATACACCTTGTTAAATGTTGCTCACCTGATTTATTTTACAGACTTTGTGGATTTTGTGCTCTGCAAATGAAAGTTATTGACATTATTGTTATTTCATCAGAGATTCAGTCATGTTTTAGACATGTCGACACGTTCTTTAGCTTTTGCTTATCAGTGGAAAATCAGAGCTCCTCCGTGCACCATGTCAGCCATGAAAACACATTTTTATCTTCAGACATCATTACAGCAAACAAGCCTGTGAACTTGTGTGTTTGGGCCTGCAGCTCTAAATTACTTATTGGAGGAGAGATCCTTTGTAAGTAGCAACACCTGTAAAGAGCAAACAGAACAAAGAGACGTGAGCCTCACAAATCAGGCAGGTTATTGATTTTTGTATTTGTTTAGCGTCTTTCTTCTTTTCAGATCCTCTAATAAGGAACATTTTCTCTGAACTGAAACAAAAGACTTTACAGGAAGCCGTAACTCTTCCTCTCACTTGACCTCTCTCTTCTCTCTGACCTGACCTCTCGTTGCCCTTTGTCTTTTAGCGCAGCTTCCTGAGCGATGTTTACACCAGTCTGCTTCACCATAATGAAGGGCAGACTTTAACGGCGGGTTGCTTTTCCTTCATCAATACGGAGCCAGTTGAGATTTATGGTGTGAACATTTGAAACTGGGAGCGTGACCTCATGACTGGTCTTCCAAGAAATGACTCTCTTTATGTGGTAAAGACTCGAGTCAGATGTCAAGTTTTCACTTCTCAGGTCAAAAAGGGTCGGTGGCCTCAGAGGAGACCTTATTATGCTGATTTATACTCAAATACAAACATACACTAGTAGTACAATGTTGGATGTCCCATTGCAAAGTTCTATAACGTGAAACACATGGATGATGGTGCGATCTCAAGACCTATTTTCAGGCTCTTCTGAACATCTTGTTTTTGCACATGACCAAAACATGACATCAAGCTGTGCCGTCCTATCAAAACAAAGCTAGAGGAGGAGTCCACCCTGCAGCTCTGTCAAAGAAAGCCCGACCCCGACGATGGGAATCTATTTTATGCTTGGCCGTCCTCAGAAATGCCCCCAAACATGAGAATCTATGATCTTCAACAGTGAACATGGTTAATACTTACAACTCTGAACGTCTTCTGTGCAGATCTACGGGAGGAAAACTCACTCCTGACCCCTCACTCCACAGAATGAGCACAATTTTGTGGAAACATGCCTGTTAGAGGATGAGGAAGAGGAGGGTGGTTATTGATTATTGATGAAGGCGAAAACGTTTGTTTTGATTGAATTTTTTTCATACTTAAAAAATTATATCAGAGCAGCTTTTTGTCCTCAAAGGCCACCGTCTCCTCTGGAACCTCAGTGATGGAAAGGGTATGTTTCAGTCCAGAGCTTGACAGCTATGTGTCGCTAAATGTTATTTCTACTGGGTTTACTGTCAGGTAAATATAGAGATTATAATCCATTTGGACAACTTTGTTTATAACTATCTTAGATCATATGTTGGGATCGATACAAGGTGGAAAAATCACTAACTTTCTCCATCATTAAAAGTCGTAGGGTGTATAGAAGATATATAATGTTAGATATTCAGCTTTTTTACTGCTAATAGAGGAACTTCTGTTCAGCCTGTGACCTGAATTTGTCATCTCAGAGGATTAATGTTCTGTACCTATTATAAACAGGTTATCAATCAACACATGAGAAATGATTTAAATGCTTGACAGAGACATTCACGATAAAAATGATTTTCTGTTCTAATGATAAATACTCTATGAACCCCTTGAGGACTGTTACAGCACATACAATCAAATCACAGGAAACAACCTCAAACATTAAGACTTAAAAACCAGTCTGACATATAAAAAGAAGACGTTGAAATGTGCTAAACAAGCGTTTGTTTATTTGTTATTTGTTATGTGTTCATTTTCAGAGTGTGTGGGGTTCACCCCGGATGCTGTGTGTGATGTAGCGAACATGATGTGTAACAGGTGTGAGGCGGCGAGGAGGGGAGACATCTGCAGCTGTCCCTGTGGACACCGGTCATGTCCTCCCCCATCTGCCTCTCCCCCCCTGTGTCCCACCAAGACCCTAAAAGCTTGGCTCAAGTGTGTGCATGTGTGTGTGTGTGTATGTATACTTATGCATGCGTGTGCAGCAGACGTTGAAGCCGCGCTTACTGCAGCCAAGTGTCATCACCTCTCCATCCACCATCCTGAGCCCCCTCCTCCGTTCAGCCCTAATACCCTGCAGGTACCCGAGGATCCTGGTCACATGTGGTTTTGGCCATGTGTCCATTTAACAAATGCTTCACAGCCTCGCTTTGGCCTGCAGCGATCTAACCCTCGCTCTGATCAAGACGTCTGGGTGAGATTTAAATTATATTCCCTAAATAGAGGGCCAGAGAATAAGTTAAGATCACTGAGAGGGAGAAATGATTAAATTAAAGGAACGCTGACATTTCATGGCTGATATGCTTGACTCTTATGACAGCTCATTAATTTTCTTTATCTGTCACCGAGAGGTAGGATTACTGCAGATTTGTGTGAACTTGGGTCATTATTTGACTGCCATTGGAGTTTTTGATCAACAGAGGTTAGACAGAAATCAGACTACTTTGATTTTTGAAACTTCTAAAGATAAAATATTAGTTTTCTGATAATTAGAGCTCCTGTGGGGAGTTTAATGGACTGAAATTCATCTTTCACCTACCCAGCTTCTAGTATCGATAAGAGGCCAGTTTGGTCAACCTTTAAAGGGATATTCTGGCATAAAATTAAGTTAGGGTCAAACACACCGTAACACCGAGTTAGACACCCCCTTGAGAGATGAATGCTGCTGACTACTTTCTTCTCTAGTTAAACCAACTTTAGTAACGACCGCACAATGGCAATACACAGCGGTCTGAGGAGCAATAAACAAACTTCAACCAAAACACCACTCTATAGCCACAAATAATACTCAGAACAGCACCTAACCTGGGTCCTAGCCATAGTACTAGCCACCAAACAGCTTTTCACCTTTGTCTGGTTTCTTTAGCAAAGAGACTAAACCATAGACTGTATAAACTAAAGGCAACTTGGACTTTTGGATTTGAAGCCAAAAAGCTCTCGGTATTTCTGGGATTTTACTTCATTTCCTGAAACTAGCGCTGTGCAGTAGCATTGTGTGCAGCGCTAGTTTTGGCGGGAGAGTCTCCGAGAGTCGCTGTGATGATGCTCGACTCAAACAGCGTATACCACGGGTGAGCTTCGCAAACCCTGAACGCCTATCAGGTGAAAATCAAAGAAAACATGAACCCCCTAATAACTTTTAAAAACGGAGCTTCACAGAAAAAAAGAGGACTTGAACACAAACCAGTCTTACTGTAACTACATGTCAACATCACAAGCAGGGGGGAGAAAAATGTATACAGTGTTACGGTGTGTTTAACTCGGTGTTACGGTGTGTTTGACCATAAGTTAATTTTACTCTGGAATATCCCTTTAACAGAGAGAGAAACGCAAGTATGATGAGCTGTATTTTATTATCTAGTTCATGTGCGTATTTGAGGATGGATGTTACAGAAGAGGTTTTCCTATGTGGGAAGAGATGTGAAGAAAAGATAGAAATGGTGTCAAAACTCCATAATTCTGTTTAATGGGATCAAAAAACAACCTAAAACAGACATTTTTAGATGCTGTGTGACTTAAAAGTTGTACCAAAACATCATTAATTGATTTTGATCATCACAAAAACTTCAGTCATTGAAATGAAGCGTCTTGGATTCATATTGTTGTGTTTGCGACTTTGCTTCAGATCAGAGGGGTCTAGTTATAAAATAAAAAGACGTTAAAGTGCCAAAATGCAGCAGTAAAGCTAAAAATGAGCCTAAAAAGAGTCCAAACTAGAGCTCAGTGTGGCGTCAGGAGGCAGATTGAGTTGTCTCTTGTTTTTTCAGGGTGCATATTCAATGATATTAATGAAAGAATAAAGACGTTCACATGATGGCAGTGCAAACAAAAAGAAACTATCAAACACAAAGGAAAGAATGAATATGCAAAACAGTCATTACAACGTCTTAATGATCCCGGATCATTAAAAAAACATTTTAAAGCAACACATACTGAAACAAAAGTGAACAAAAAATGCAGATTGAAGCTTTTTAATGGCTTGAGACTTATTTTCCTTTTATCACTACTCCATTATGATAGCATTTTATCCCACATTAGAGTAATTTTCATTCCCCAGCACGTTGAATTTCTTTTAAGGTAATCACTATCTCATTCTTTATTCTGCTTTATTTGGTCTTTGTACATGCAGAGTCACAATATCTTGCACCAATTATATGAAAATACATAAAATGTTTGAATCACTGTTCATTTCTTTCCTGCGTTACGGATTTTCTTTCAAAAGCAGCAAAAAAAATCACATCAATGAGCCTCCTGGCAGCTTCATTTCTTTTGTGACTCTTCACTGTTTGCCGGGAGAATATTGGGTTTTCTTTCCTTAAGGGCAACTCGATGCCTGACAAGATTTTGAGTGACAGTTTAACCAGATAATTATATCCCGAATGAAGATCCATTAAAGCGTGGTGACAGATTAGTAAAAGGGGTTACTTGTCCGTGGCAACACAACACTGCCGCAGGTAATCCTAAAATGAGATGTCATGAAGAGAAAATGAATCCGTGAAACTTCCTGAACCTGAACCTGAACTGACTGTCAAAAGAGAGTCTGTGACTCAGAGGTGACCCGTAACACGATGAGGATGCAGACTGAACTTTCCGGTTTCATGTGTAACTGGGCTCAAGGAAAATATCTCATCAAAGCAGTTCAGTTATTTTCTTTTTTAAAAAACATGCCAGACAGTCCAATAACAAGACCCAACCTCATGTTAACGAGACTGTCTGCTCTTATCTTTTGTGTGATTGCTTATTTCAATTTAAACACAATGCAGGCAGATGCATCACAATACAACTAAATGAATGAATGCAGGAAATGGAGGGTTAAGTGTTCCTACACTTAAGCACGGATATCACATCAGATCAGATGCATTCATGAATATAAGATGGACAGCAGACTTGACTTAATGCTCATTCATCCTCTAATGAGAAACACTGAAGACAGACAAAATGTACAAAAGAGAGCCACACATGGACTCTTTAACAAACCATGCCAGCGCCTACAAACAAGAACCAGAACACCCTTGGTAGGAATATCTGGTCCTGTACCTCCATATTCTGCATTTTGGTATGAACAGATGAGAGACTTTGCAGAAAAGTCATAAAAATTCACCAAAACAGAAACAGGCAAGAGCTAAAAGTGTCACCAGGGGACACAAGTGATACACAGCAGGAACACCCCTGTTTTACATTTCTGCAGTTTCCAAAACTGTAAGCAAACTTCAATAACTTCATGAGTCAAACTATGAAAACAGGGAGAGCTCCGCCTTTTGGGGGTTCAGATCAGAAGGTACTCGTGTTAGTTTTAGGGGACACATCCAATCTACAGATACAACCAGGAGAGGCTGGTGTAGAGTCTGTAAACACTGCACAATAATGACAAAAAAAACTATCCTTCCAATACTTTAAAACAGACTTTTACAGTCACTTTTACTATTTACAGCCCAAGCTCTGGAACATCCTCCTTCATTTACTCAATGGGCAACAGGTTTCATGGCTTGCTCCCTTACAAAGAGCTAAAGTCCAGAGGCCACAGACTTTTGACCAATCATGAAACTGTAATGTCACTCAGTCATGTGATCTCTGACTTTTTGCACTTTTTAATTAATTAGATCTATCAGTCAGTTTCAAATAAATTAAATAAAATGTTTAAACAGATGATTGACCTAACATTGGTCTCAGTATCCAGCCAAGGCCTTTAGGCATTAAACTCTTAATATAAACTTTTCATAGGTGTGTGCATTTTTTAGCTCATCCATCCACTATGACCACCAGCTGCTCATTGTTGTTGTTTAAACCTGACAACAAAATAAATGTAAATTTCTATTACACTTAATTTTATATGCAAGGTAGTCTGAAAACAGAAAAATATAAAGCATTCAAAGCGGGTGTAAAACTCCTTTAAAACATCTAACATTTCTAACATAAATCAGATCACCAAGACTCTCAAGTATCCTGCAGTCAATGGAAGGATAAGTTAAAAATACGTGTTGCATCAAATATTTCATCAATAATTTGACTAATACTCTTTTTTAAACATGATTAAAATGCTAACTTCTCCAAGAAGGACTCCCTCTCAGTGTTAGTAATTTATGACTGTGCTGCAAAGGTTGGCTTTTTAACATTCAGTGTAGCTTTAAAACATTAAATATGAACCAATTCTGAGTTAACATTTTTCATTAGTGGACTAAAACCTTCATTTGGAGCTTAAAGATTTAAGATATAACTGTGTAGATAGATCTTTACAATCCTACCGGGGAGCTGAACAGGAATTTAAAGATGCAGGGAACCATGAGGTCGACTCCACGCACAAAGAGGGGCCGTTATGAGATCTGAGTGAAGTCGCTTTTCTTAAATCCACACTCACAGAGCCGGTTAAGGGCCTACATTTGTCATGACTAATACGTGGGTACGGACACTGATGTGGTGTGCAGAAGGGGAGCTGGGAAAGCACCAGTTCATTACAGGCCCACCGGCTTTACTGCATTTTGATGGATCTCCCCCGGACCCTTCACATGGTCTCTGCTGCACATCAGGTAATTGCTGTAAGACTAAGTGCACTACCACCAGTCCCCAGACTAAAACCCTTACGGCACATTGTCCTTCTTCCACTCTGTGTGTTTGTGTGTGTGTGTGTGAGGAAGACAAGGGGGTAAAGAGAAGTGGAGATGGAGATAAAGTGTGTGTGTGTATATGTGGGTGTGTGTGAGCTTGTGCGTTTAAAAGGCATAGTGAGATTGGCTTTGAGATAATGATGTATGAAACATAAACCCGAGGTCATCTGTTCCAATAAAGCCTCCAGTCTCTGGGCCCCTCTCTTGCATGCAGACGAACCAATATAAAGGGCACGCTTGGTTTCACAGGTTACACCCTCATTTCTCTGCTACACTGAGACAACTGAGCGGGTTAGTTTACCGTCTATCTCACATCTGAATGATAGCGAGAGAGAAAAATGACACAGCAGACAGGAAGGAGCAGAACAAAAGAAACGCAGAAATAACAAGATACCGCATCTGGGAAACTAAAAATAAAAACACAAAGCAACTCCTGGTTTCCAATTAGTCGGAGGAGAAATGGGATGTGGAATATATACTGCACGGACCGTCCAGTGCTGAGTGTCGCTGAGTGGGGTGTGGAAGAGGAGGTAGGAGGAAGGAGGTGGGGGAGGAGGAAGGTTGCAGGATTAGAAGGAGATGAGACGAGAAGCATTGGCCTCTCTTCTCAGACAGCTCATCTCTGCGAGCTGCTGGAGGCTGGCAGAGAGAAAATACACACCGGGGGGTCTGGCTTTGGAAAGTTTGCTGCAGCACTTCTCCTCAAATCTCTGACCTCAGAACTGGGTTCATTTTTGGCTGCTCCCACTCGTTTATTCTCTGCTCGAACATCAGCTAATAAATGTGTGGCCTTATTACTGTTGATTTGGAGATGCTGATGATGATGAGCATGATTTAAATGATCACTGTGAAGCTACATGATAAGAGGAAACCTTTTAAACCCCGATCTAGAAGTATTCATTCCCTTATAGACTTTGAAGAACGAGCTGTGAGCATTATAATGAAAAATCATCTCCTTGTAGAAAACTAGGCGTATTTTTTAGTGTACTGTAGTGTCTGGCGAGGACCTCCTATCAAAGAACCTTCAGCCACAGTTGTGGGTGGCCAAGGGTTTTGGCCCCATGATCTACATCCAAAGACAGATACCACTAATGTTGACCCCAATTCATCTTGAAGGATTTTTCTTCTATCAAACCAGAACTACTTTCTGCTCTACAGCCAGATAAATGGAGCACCACTATCAATGATAACACACAATACTGCTTTTCAATGAAGGTTCAGTTTCAGAGGCCATGTGCAATACAACCTAACAGGCAACATTACTTTTTCATCATTACCTCATAAACCAGCATAACAGTATCACCTGTTATACTAACTGTTGCAACCATAGGATGTATGTAGTGAAGCCACCCTGAGAACAGCACCCTCTGTTGATGGGCTGTAGTATAGGTCATAAATCCTGCCAGCCATCCTTATGGGGCTGTGGACAAACTGTAGAAATTAATTACACAGAACATAATTTTTTTCCACCCTGTTTGCGATGTTGACATGTAGTTATTGTAAGACTGGTTTGTGCTCAAGTCCTCTTTTTTCTGTGCAGCTCCGTCTTTAAAAGTTATTAGGGGGTTCATGTTTTCTATGATTGACACTTGATACAGCCTATGGGTGTATGAAGATTGCATAGCTCACCGGGGGGTACACTGTTTGAGCCAAGCGCCATCGCAGCGACTCTCGACAACTGTCCCGCCGAATGCGTACAATGCTACTGCGCAAGTGTTGGAGTGCATACAACGTTACTGCGCAATGTTGGTTTCAGAAAATGGAGAAAAATCGCGGAAATACCGAGAGCTTTTTCGGATTCAAGTCCATACTGGCGGAAGACGGAACCAAGTTGTCCATAGTATATACAGTCTATGTTTTAATGACTTTTCATTTTTACAGCCACTATAATTTAACCGCCATAACTACTTTTTCTGCTTAGCACATGTTTTTAAACTTACTTAAAAATATTAGTGGCATTTAAACTCCATCCTAAACCAGAAATTATATTTGAATTAGGCGAAGTTTGAACAAAGACAGAACTTTCCTTTAAAAATACTTGGGTGTTCAGACTGCCTTTTAAAATCATCTTAAAACATTGTTGTATTTTCACAATGCTGCTATTAAATGAACTCCCTGATTCAAATGACCTGGACAGACCTGAGGCAGGACTACACAAATGTTGCTGTCTGAGAGTCTGATCTTATAAAAGAAAAGGGAATACATTCAATCAGAGTAAAAGTACCAAGAATATCCACAGTGGATTACTTTATTTATTCGGAACTTATTTATTTATTTAGAACTGCTATTTATTACTGTATTTGTTTTTATGATGCACTGACTGTCTGGCACTTTTTTAATTTCGTTGTACTGGTTACAATGACAATAAAGGACTATTCTATTCTATTCTAAATATAGTGGAGTCAAGAGTACAATATTTGTCTTTCAGATGATGAGGGGTAAGGAGCTTTTTAAATGTATTCCTCATCCTGGTCCGGTTGAATGTGCTGAGCATGTGAAGAGAGCGGGCAGGGAGGCTGAGAGGCTGTATTTACTGAGGTCTAATCGAGAGTAAATGAGGTGTGGGGATGAATTAATAGTTTAAAGGATTATTTGATTCGTTTGAATTTGCTTGACTAGATAAGCAAATTAAGAAAATGAAGAGTATTCTTTCAAATGGACCTGATCTCTTTTCATGCATTGATTCCTGTTCCCCTGACAAACAGAACAGGCCGATGAATAAACATCGGGCTATTTTAGTGCCTAGGAAGAATCCCTGAGCATGAGGCCTAATACAGGTAGCATCCTTGGGTGGGATCGATTCTGTGAAGAAGCATAATGCTATGCTTGGTTGTTCAGCTCGTCTCAGGAAAGCAATTCCAGCACCGCCGGCGGCATTTGTTACTGTGTTGTCTTAAAAACCTCACAGCAAGAAGTTATGGTGCTGCCAAGCCACGCTGGAGAGGCATTTAAAACAATGAAACGGCTGCTCGGGGGGCAATTAAACCCAGGTCAGGCCTGAGTTATGACCCATTTGAATGACATGACAAACTCAAATGTTAGCGCATATTCGTGTGTCTGCATGCACGCCCGTGCATCAGCACAGAGGATTATCAGTGCCATTTTCATACTTACACCATTTACTGAGGTTATTTAATCCTATCGTAGGGTTGTGCATTAGCACTGTCTGCAGAAGACATTTATTTTCAAAGAATAAACCCTCATTTTCAATCTTAATATAACAATCTAATGCATCCAGCACAGTTTTTGTTTTCTGTAACTGTTTATTCTGGCTGTATGAGCCATCAGAGGCGGTTATAGTGCAGTTACAGTATAACAGAGAAAATCCAGAGTCCGCTTTCTGCTAAAATGCAAGCCAGAGTTCAGGTCAGTACAAGCCAAGACGTCTTTATTGATGCATTTTAAAATAACTGAGACTGGAAAAAGGGCTTTACAAAACAAGCTACAATAAGAAAACCACAAGGAGTCCCACAGTTTAGGGGAAGCTGCTGCAAAGACAGTAGAAGAGTTGAGCTGAGGAAGTCAGAACCAACCCATTCAGAGTCTTAACAACAAAATCTTAAAACTGAACGTTTGATGGGCTGGAAGCAAGTGGAGAGAGAGCAGCAGAGGAGGGACGTGGTCCCTCTTTTTCAGCATCCTGAATTGGCTGCAGGTGTTAAATAGATAACTGGTGGCCAGGCTGATATACAGCTATGGCCTCAAAACCAGTCTGATCAAGTATCCCCAAAACAGCGCTCTTAGCAGCAAAGCAAATGATTCCCTTCTGGGTGTTTTACTGTCGCACTGCAGTGGAGAGACCACAAGCAAAAGAGAAAGTTTGGCTTTAAAGATCCTGTAATTCAGGACCAACTCAACCTGGCACACTCAAACTACTGAACTCTACTGTGCAAGAAACTTTGGGTACTCTGCTGTAACCACTAATTTTATGGAGTTTTGCAAGTATTTTGAGTAATATGCCTGGCGCTCCTTTGAGACTGTAAGAGCTGGCAGGATAACGAGACACTGAGAGGAGTCAAAGCGGTTTATGTACATCATTTTACTCCCAAATGTGAATCAGCAAGCTACATAAAGCTGTTTAAATCTCCACTAATTCTTGTGCAAATGCTGAAGAAGGACATTATTTTCTTAGTTAATCAAAAGTACATATATTTCTATGTATGTTTTAAGAGGATAGTAATGAACTGGGGAAAATTAGTTTTCAAACAACATGCAAAACAAATATTAAACCTAAAAGACCCTGAGTGACCTGTTAATCTCAGCCAGTCCCAACCAAACTGCAGAGGCTATAGCTCAAACCCTGCAGGCAGACAGAGATAATACCCACAAATTACCCTGCTAACTGAGTATAGTCTGACAATGGAGCATGAGCCCATCTGGTTAAAAAAAGGCAATTTTGGGCTATTTATCACCAACCATTTTACATGTGCAAGAAATATTATGGGTTTTGAGAATAAAAAGCTGTTATCAAAAGCTGAGTCAAATCAAGCTGAGTATGCAGTTTGTCAAAAATAGAAAAGTCAAAATCAGCCAATCAAGACAAGAGGGAATTTTAGACGCTTTATCATGCTAATGCCGTTATCATTTTGATAAGTGGTGGTTAATTTGGTTAAATGTGACAGCTATGAAGATTTTTATCGGCGGCTGTGGCTATTTCCTGGGGCAGTGTTGTACCCGTGTACTACAAAAAGTGGCTGGAGAGATTTGCTTCTCTTTATTTCCAGCCCTGATGAGCTCTCTGCCGCAGCAGAAGGGCCAAAAAGGAGGTAAGGGGTTTCTTCATGCATAGCAACAGCAGGGACGTTATATAATTATGTAAAGCATATATAGATGGACACTGTTTGGCAGATAAATGAGCATATAAATAGAGACTGGCATCCCCCCCTACTCTGTTTTATTTTTATTTTATACATCATCTTGTTCAGTCGTAATGTGATAAATATTCATGCACAGAAACCCCTGTAATATTTTAGTCAGTTTGTTTGTGCTTAAAATGAGTAAGGCTCACGTAGGCACTTTGGGCAGCTTGGGGGTCTTTTAGATGCAGAGGTGCACATGCATCATTCAGTAGACTGAGATGTTCTGCAGTCTGCAGCAATGCCACTGATGTGCTTGTATTTCTGCATTTCCAGGGAGTTAAAGTTTATTTTAAAATCTCTTGTTGACAGGAAACCATCTTTTTTTGTGTCCAAAAACTCTTTAATGTCTCATTCTATAAGACAGATTTAAAGAGAGGAAATGTAGAAAGGGAGATATGAAAATTGTCACAGAAAATAAAAACAAAATAAAATCATCACAAAAATAAAATGATAAAATAAAAAAAGAAAGATTTGAACAGAAGGGTTGATGCTGTCTGCAAACAGTGCGCCTTTGCTCTTAATCAAATCAAATCAACCCCAAACCACAAATGATCTTCAAAAATAAACAAGCATGTTAATTTTGTTAAGTAACACATTTGATCTTTTCTCTTGTCAAATACGGCCCTCTCTAGAAGATTAAAACCCCTATGAGGAACATTTTGGTGACCCCTGTAGACAAAGTGGGATGATTTCTCATTTGCTGATTTTGCTATGCACACTTATCAACTTATTTGACCTTTACTAAGGGAGGTTAGTCACAAAGTTTCAACAACAACATAAAAGACGTCTGTTATGGCAGTCAGCTAAAATGAGTGCATAGAAAAAGCCCGGCTTCAAGACTTTTAACAAAGGGTTGAAATACATTCAAGTCGACTCAGTATCTATCTTTGGTTATGATTTTCACCGATGAGATCTCTGCTCTTGACAATGTAAAAAAACAAAAGCTTAGCTCTGTCTGTATTTAGATTAAGCTGCAGTTGTCAAAGCTGATCTTATAATAAATTAAATGTTGAATACTGAAGATTTGATCAGCTTTAACAGGCGTAGGTAAACAGCAATAAATAACAGCGTCGTCAGCATAAAAGTGAAAAGAAGCATTTTGGACATTCTGTCCTAGATAACTTATTTAATTAGTAAATAGTAGGGGGCCCAGAACTGATTCTTGTGGTACCCCCCTGGATTTAAAGCACCTCTGTAGAAATACTATCTATTTTTTTTAACAGCTTGGGTTTTATCAGTGACACCTACCCTGCGGCAGGGGTGATAGGTTCAAGAAATAACCGATCTCCCCTTTAATAGTTTTATTTTCTTTTACAGGTCATATTGAGGAATTATTATTAGTTTCAGTCTATTTTATTATTTGCTAATAAGAGTTCACAAGAGTTTAAATTAAATAGCTCTGCAACTCATTCTACCTTCACGAGTCAACAGAATTACATGAGTCCTGATTTTCTCTCATAACTGTGGACCTGCATCTCTGAGGTGAGCCTGTGAAGCGCCACCCTAATATGAACTCAGACAGCCATTAATCCCAGCAGAGAGGCAGCGGTGCGACTGGAGATGTCAGGATTTTTTCAATTATTCACCGGCCTAAGCCTTTGGCCCCAGGCTGTTCAACTATTTCACCGTTCCTCTCTCCATACCTCGTCACACGCTGTATTCATGAATAAAAAACACAGAGGAAGGTTTGATGTGATGCACCTGGGCTGTTTTCACAATTCACTTCACGAACATCAAACTTTGCTGTTTCCTCTCTGTGGAGCAGAAGTCATGGGGGGGCCTCCCACTCTGACTCCTGATCAAAGTGGAGGTGTTCAGATCATGCGACATGATCTGTGTTCGTATTTGGCCCAGACTGTGAGAGTTAACTGTGTAAACTTAGAGTGGTAAAAGAATACACGATACATGTTTGAATGTAACCCATTAGTGCGAGGTGGTGTGTTATCAGAGTGAAAGTGTGTTTGTTTACTTGGATTAAAGGTACTTGTTGTAAGTTGTACGGGTAAAACTCCATACTTGAAAGCTCTTGTGGATACCTGATGCAATCCTCTAATCTGGTGCGCTTCACTGTATCCCTGAGTTTCAACTGATCTTGGGAAACTTCTTTTCCCCATAATGCACCCTGATGGGTATCATAGGGGATGCAGAAACAGGGGTGTGTGGTTGTTTTTAAATACTGTAGCTAAAACTAAGGGTAAATGTATCTGAACAGGTGGTTATGTGAAACAGAATCCCTCTTTGCATCAGAGTTATGAAAGTGTCCTATTTTGCAAAATCACCTGCTCACTATACAAAATCGCACTTTATACCAAGCTACCAATGAACTGGCACTAAGTATTGATTTAAAAGTGATTACAATGATTTCAAAAGGACTTATTTATGCAGTTAGAAAACAGTCCCACAGCTTTGTTGACTGCTAAGGCTCCAATGGCAACAAACTGGTATTTTTATTCAAATTTATTCGAACATAAGCCTTGTATAGGACTTTTCCTCCTGTTCATCCAGTCCTGTAACATCACTAAAGCTTTTGTAGTTTGACATTATTTCATGTCTGTTTTCTTCAATTTGTTTAAGCTCCATTTCACTCAGCTCTCTTTGTGTTTTTGACAGCCCTCATTTTTAATTCCAGTAAGACTTTCAATCAGAACCAGAATCAGAATACTTTATTTGCAAGTATATAAACTTTATATAGATTTAATAGTAACAAGAAGACGCTGGACCAAGACTTCAGTATGGAATCCCTCAGCATGAGGGAGGCCACACATGGACTGCATTAGCTTTATACAGGATTGTCTGATTTTCCACGAAATCTATAATGGAAACAATTCACAGATGGTATAATTTTCTCATATAAGTGCAGGGCAATCAAAGGAACAGCAGCAAAGATATGAGACAAGCACGCAGATGATTCTTTGGGAGAAATACTCTTGAAATTGAAACATTTCAAGGCAATGGTTTAAAAAAATCGCTTGTTCAGGATCATATTGGGAAACTTGGGGGTTGTTTATGTGTTTATGGCATGTAGCAAGTTTGCAGGCCTCTATTCTTTGGACGTTTACTGTGGTGAATCATGACAACAAAATCTTCCTTAAAGGAATGTTGAACTCAAGTATAGTCTCAAACCATAATAGCAACATAATCACATAAAAACTGCACTTATAATGGGGACAGAAGGAAGCCGGACAACTCCTCTAGAGCTGAAATGTATCATTAAATTTAAATCATATCCTGGTAGAATTCTTATGACATAACTTGAGAACTTCACGTCATTCAATTAGGTTAGTTATACTGACTTGCCAAACTTGTTTCCTAAAATCTACAACTCTGAAGCAAACAGAAAAAGTTCACCCTCATACTTTCCAGTGAAACACTGCTGGTCAAAAAGTGACATGTTTTGAGTGCATGTGGCGTATGTCATGCAAGACTTGTGCAACAAACTGGTGGGATGATGTAAAAAGCATTTGGCCGGGCACACAGCTTCACTGCAGGAATAAAAAATTATATCCCTGCAGAGTATCAACTACTGTTGTTACTCGTCATTATTCAGCTCTTTAATTGCTTCCTAAACTGAACTATAATAGTTTATTTTACCGTGTAATCATGGCTCTGCTGCATCCAAGCAAAAACAAGCCACCCCCTGATGCTTCATATCTTTCTGTTTCAAAGGTTTTAGTTTTCATGATTCAACACTGAGACCCCCCCTCACGTCTGAAACGAGTCTTCAGAGCGCTGAGCACGTCCTACTGAGCGTCCTGATTTCAAGCTCTATTTATCAGCGTCTCCAAGATTAGTGGTCATGTAGGAGGCCCTGCTCACATGTTCAAAAATCATCTTTAATGCAACCCTGCTGATGTTCCTGACTTTGATGCACACAGGTGAGAGGTTATTTACATAATCTTTAAGTACCAGGAGGCAGCTTTGAAGAGACGGTCTCTACGACGGGATGCTGCATATCTTTGTATGTGTTACACTCCAACAAAGCTGTTACTGCAGGTCAGTATCATGGCATCTTCATTTCGAATGTCTGAGTCTGAGAAATTTTAATAAGGAGTCACTTCAGTCCTGGTTTTATCATGTTCAAGTCTCAGCAGTCTTTCTGCCAAGGACACTTTGTCTTTGATTTACATTTCAGAAGGTGTTGGACCTTTGAGGAGCCGCTACTTTGATCCATATCTCTGTGACTTGGGTTAACTAACTTTCAAAACCAACCTTGACTCAGGATTTTACTGAAGCTTTGCTTTACTTTTGCACATTTACTTTTTGCCATTGCACCTGCAAAACATCATCTTTGCTGCAACATGAGATGAGACTTTAAGCTCCTATGAGGATTGTTTTATGTTTATGAAATGGACTGAAATTCATATAAATACTCTTTCATGATATCCACGACCAAACAAGACCATTAGCGATAAAATTGATCAATTTAGATTGTAATTTTTATTGCCTGAAACCGGAGTCAGGGGGTAGATATAATGCAAGTAGCTGAAGATACAGCCCTGCTTTTATAATTTCATCAATCATAAATAAAGAGGTCAAAAAGATAAGATAGACTCTAGGGAAGCATATAGAGGACCAAATGAGCAAAGACTGCTTTGTCTACAAGGGGTGTAAAAATTTGGCATTGCTAAAAAAGTTCCTCATGGGAGCTTTAAAAAAAAGCAGTTAACCCGTCTGTGATGTGTTGATAATAAAACCTGTGTCTGGAACAGATAACTTATGTCACTAAGGTACCAGTTAGTTAAGGAACCAGAATTTTGGTTACCATGGCTTCCTTTTGTATCACAGTGATAAATTAAAAAGTTAGTTTTAATCAATGCAAAGGGTGTGTGACATTAGTCCTGCGGCACCACAAGCCAGATTTCATCACGAGGTGGTCTTTTGGCTTTGCGATGGAGGCCGGCAGTCCATATTAATATACTGTCAATGATTTAGACCAACCTTTAAACCACATGGACAAAGTCCTCTTATTAATTACAATGGAGCTTATCAGTGTGGGTGTGGATGCAAGGGCACTGGGCAAAAAGTGAAATAAGGTTGAAGACTGGCTGCAACATAGTACTATGTCCTAAGGTCACTCAGATCCTTTCATTATGTCAGAGAGTCCTACAGAGAAGTTTTGCAAAACAATCAGATCAAAAATTTATTATACAGAGGGAAGTGTGAAACCACTAATATACGCTCTGTTAAGCTGCAGCCTGAAACGCTTCAATATGGCTGCTTTTGTGCTGATATCAAGTCAGACAGCATATGGGTGTTACTTTCTACACAACTAGGTGGTCACAAAATAACAGAAAACGTTCAAGGCTAGCTTTTTGCACCAACTTAGCTCTAATATGTTTGCTACTGTAACATTAGCTGCTGTTACAATTTTACTCACAGCTTGTTGGTTTGTGAGCCTTTGTGAAAGTTGTCAGGCGCATGCTCATGCAGTTAAATTGTTGTCCTAATAAAACATTAATAGGCCTTGATCAATCTTGATATGTGTTGTTGGAAATGTGCAGTTACTGCTCTAAAAACCACATATCCGTCTTTCAGGAGACAAATATTTGTTTCATTACTTATCCTAGCCCCTCAAAACATCCCTGACAGGTTGTGTTGTGTTTGAATCTCTTCTCCATGCGCTCACAGAGGGACAGCCAGGTTTATGGGACTACAGGAGGGCCTGACAGGTCGGTTTATGCCGCAGTGGTCCTGCCTACCTGCCTGCGTGGACTCTGCGTGGAATACAATCTCACCGCAGGGCTCGGATAGCTCCGCTGATCAATACCCCGTAAGAGTGATGAAATAAATAGTCTTTCTTACCAGGTTACTGCTGTGATGGTGTTTCGCTTACATGAGTAAAAATTAAGCCTCCCAGGCAGCTGGTGAGAGAAAACACTGGAGGGAGCGCAGTGTGAGTTCAGTCTTAAAGGGCTGAATCACAGCTCATGAAAAACACCGACAGCAATGGGAGAGGCTGAGTAACAAGTGTGTGTGTGGTGATTTGTATTAAACTTTTTATGTGACTCAGCAAACCGTCTTCATTCGGTTACAGGGGCGGTATTTTATTTTGTATCTAACTTATGAAAGGAAGTTTCAATTGCAAAGCTAAGTTGATCAATTGTGCAAATATCAAGAAGCTGATTCGTGTACTTCTGCAAAAAGAGGAAAATCCCTCTTACTCAATGATATCCTGAAAACTATCAAAGGTCTTAAGGCACATATTTGTTAAGAGCAGGCCATAAAAATAGAGCTGCACTAAGAGAAAAACTGAAATATGATCACCCACATGAGTCCTTCCTTTTCCATCTGAAAATGCTTACCCGCTCCGTTTTTAATAGACATTTTGTACTGATTTGTAGAGGTTTGTTTTGGCCTAGCACTCCTGCAAAATGAAAATCGACCATTGAAACAAAAACAACAGCCTCCCAAAGTTGCAGAAATACTTTAACATCCCACTTTGAGTCAATCCTGCACCAGTTTTGTGGAGACAGATCAATACTCCAGTTCAGAGGATCTGCAGCAATGGTTCTATCAGAGCCCAGGATAAGGTTGTTAGTTAGAAAAGAAGACAACTTCTGTCTGTTCTTCAAGTAAAAATCATTCCTTTGTAATTGCTGGGTGAAAACTCACAAAGAGCGTGTTGTTTTGGGTTTCTAAGGAGCCCCAACAAAGGATTGGCAAAGTGCTAATATCATCCATCTTTCTGACTTTTGTCCTGACTCAATCATATCGCGAAAACAAGCTTTGACATCAGCAAACTCGAGCTTAAAGCCTAATTACTGCTTCATTCCTCCTGCTTCAAAACGACCCCCAACCATGTCTGTGATCAGGCTCCCTCAGCTCAGCAGCGTATTTTGCAGCATTGTTATCTTAGTAATACCTTAAACCCTCATCAAAGACGGCTGCATGCATCCTGAAAACAACCAAAGTGGACAAACGTTCTCTTTTCATGTTGAGACAAACACCCAAGCATGTCTGTATCTGAGAATTTAAAGCTAAGGTGACATTGGAAACATAAGATGTTGACTTCAACGGCAGCATTTCTTACAGAAGGTGTAGGTGTTGCACGTGTTTCTCAGTGGGGAGATATTGCTCCTAGCTGTGCATCTCCACTGTATCTTTCAGTCTGTCCCTCTGAAGAGACAACTTTGAAAACGATCTCAGCTCGCCACATAAATTCCCTCGTCTGTTGCCGGCAGAGCATCCACACGGCTGCTCTTTCTTGGTGTTAATTTACATGCATGTGGAGCGATGGGAAATGACACAGCGAACCCTTGTTGAAAGAAGTGTTGGTGATACTCTAATGAATGGCTCTCTCATCCCTGAGATGCAGTTTGCGACTGTGACTTGCAGCTTGTGGCTGACACATTGGGGGTGACACAATGAGACGAGGCTTGTGGAAAGACGGGAGAGCGGAGAACCCAGATAAAGCTGCTCCGCTGAGCTGCCGGCAGGGGGTCTTTGAGATGTCTCCACCAGAGGGGCTGAGGGAGGAATTTTGGGAGGCAGAGCTCAGAGTAAACAGTATCTGCTGAAAAACAACAACAGCAGCATCCACCGCGCTCCCTAATCAAGTGGCTTTATTGAAATGCAAAGCCTCGCTTCTACAGTTCCTCAGGAAAAAAACTCGGAGTGATTAAAAGTAAAATACACTCTGTGCATCATTACTCTACCTAAATTACATGTTTAAACACCGGCTAGGATTTAACAACATCATATAATTAGGCATTATTAGTGTCATCGTGAAATATGGCAGGAGTCTAGTGAAGCTCGGCAGATTAATTACATGAAACAGCACCTCACACAAACAGCACAGGATTTGAAGCTGCTCTCTTTTCACTGGGAGTTTCTGTCTGCGTGTCCTAATCCATCTATTGCCGCCGCCGTAAACCCCAAACACTGCTGTGCGTGTTAAGCCGAGCGGAATTATAAAAGGACAACCACTGTAAGGGAAAGTAAGCAGACAATGTCAAGTGAAAAGAGTCGGAGATTCATGTAATGCAGTTTTCAAAGTACAGTAAAGTAAAAAACACTCAAACTGCAAACTATTCCAGCAGTGTGGACTACCTCATATGAAACATTATTCACTAATCAGGAATACTGTAATATCCACATTCAGTTTGATGCTGTCTGGGTGGTTTTACTGTATCTGCACTGCTCTAACTGACATGCATTATTAGACCTATTTAACATTTAGACTGATCTTTGCCTTTGAAGCCGCTACCACACTGGAATCAGGTCAGATCTCCAGGCTCTGCTCACATAAGTTCAGGCGGAACATCAACTCACAGTATCTCACAGAGACATAAATATTCCTCCACAAGTGCTCCACAGCATGACTGTAAACAACACATTGTGTCTGAAGCCTCAGCTCTGAGATCTTATTTTACTTATTCAGAGTCTTCTCAGTTCTTTACAGCCTGTCAAATCGCCACCAGAACCACAAAGGAGGAGAAGCACCCTGCTGGGAAATTTTTTCTTGGGGCATTTGTTGTCCCTGATCACAGACATGACGCACACAGCTGGAGGAGGCGAAGCAATTCAGCCTGCACCATAAACATGTCTTATTGGAAGGAATAACAACCGCCTTCATTTGGACATCAATAAGGAAGTGCTTTTCATGCTCAGAGAAAGGATTGACTCCAAACCCCAGACATTCTTGATTTAGTGGGTTTAATCGTGTATTGATCATGAATTTGCAAAGCTGAAGTGAGGTGTAACAAATAAAGTCTTGATCTGCTGTGCTGTGCTAATAGGGTTTGATTACAGCCCTTTTATGCATCCTCCGGATAAAACAGATTTATGCCTCCTGCTGGTTTGCAGCCTCCACCCAGGCACAAACCAGAGTTACCGTGAAACCGGACTGAAGGTTATAGCAGTCATGAATTAATAAAACAGCCTCAGAGATACTGGGAAGTTTAGTTTCCAGCTCCTTACACGATGGGTGAGCAGGGAAGCAGAAACAGACAGAATAGCAGTGATAGCTCCTCTCTGTTAATGTAGCCCTCCTAATACAGTGCCATGCTAAGTGAAGAGGACATTTCTGTGATGCAGGACTGCGACACACTCCATTTAACTATCTAAAGCCAGTGTGCGCTGTATGATTTTATTATGTTATAGTGGGAAGTAAACTCACGCAGCATGAGTGAATCATTTCTGACTGACAAGCACAACCTGAGCGCTCACGCTGTATGTGTTGTGTTAAAGCGGGGACGGAGCGTTGACAGTTGTCAACAAAATATACTTTGACAGCTCCCACACATGAAAGCTGGAGTGAAAGAAAACAAGTCCAACAATAAATATAAAGCACAGCATCATCTGTCTGACATGTAAACAAAAGCTGGAAACGCCAAAGCTTCATAAAAGTAGAATTGCATTAGAGTGTACAGGTGTGCAGTCACATGTGTGTTTTAGTTTGGAGCTTTCAAACACTGCCAAAGAGTTTGGAAGTCATTCATTTTTTTCTGACCCATCAGGAGCAGCTGACAAGGTCTTGATGGGGTCTTATGGCCCCCTATATGCTGCCCAGTAAAAAGAACCATGGGGTGACCTCAACACTGAGGGTCACAGCCTTGGTGCATGAGGTGCATACCAATTACCTGGCCCACAGCACCTTATCAAAGCGCAATATTAACTACACCTGAAGCTCTATTTTGGTCTCCACGAGGGCTGTCACAGTATCAGATCTTCACCACACAATTATCCCGGCCATAAAACACCACAGTCACAATATTATCACAATATTTTTGGAAAACTTGAAACTAAAACAACACAATCAGTCAAATCCAGGAAGGCAAGACAAGAGCGCAGCAACACATTACTTCATACACTTTACAAATAAAGACAATTAAGTTACATGTAATAATCAATCTCTAATGATTTATCCACATCACCAGCACTGTGACTGAAACATCTTTGGAGAAGACTTAACCTCACGAAAGACAGTTCATCATGTTTTTTGTTTTGTTTAAGCTACTTCCTGCAATGAATGAAAAAAGTAAAAAGAAGAACAGAAAGTAGAAATGTTCAATTTATTTGTAACCTGAAGAGACACAAGCTCGAATGTTGTTTCTGGACTCACAGTAAATCTTTAAAATTCAGTATATTCAGTATAGTGTTGACATTGACAGTTATCAAATACTGGTATACTCCTCTGGTACTGATGCTCCTCCAGGCTGGTTTCTTACTGGGACTGCCTGCTGTAGTGTGTTTGGTACACAACAGTTAATTCATCAGAGCTTTTACTGTCTTTCTGCTGCCACTTTCTACATTCCAGTGCCCATGACTTCAAATAAAAGAAAAAACTCTACTCTAAAGAAGTCCATTTTATTTATTACTGACAGTGACACTGAATTCAACCTCGGTGAAAGTCCAGTGTGTATTTTGACTCATCTATCGCTCTGACCACCAACCCCATAATTTTGCCCTCGCCATACTACCATCACCGGGCAGTGTCTGGAAATTACACAGCGAGGTACCCACAGTGTCATGTTGTGACACACTGCACCACGGTCGAGCTGAGTTTTGGGATGATTGAGCTGGCTGATTTTTGCTGAGGATGATCAGAGCAGTATTGGGGAATATAAAAGAAGAGAGATTGTGCATAAAACTAAAGTAATTGAAGGTAAAATAGAAGAAGACATGAAGGACACTAAAGCCCTCCACAGAGCTGTAAGAGAGCGGACTGTGTCAGAACAATCGGCCCTGTTATATCACACAGTTAACAAACAGACTGTTCTGGAAAAATGTCGATTAGTGCAGCTTTAATTTAACGAATGGATCCTTGAAAGTGAAAAGAATGAATCATGAAACCCAAAGAGGATATTGGTGCCACTTCGTTTCATGGATGGAGCTGTTTTCGTCTTAAATCTATGAGGCACTTTATGTAATACTAAAAGTGTAATTCATATTTAATAAGAACTGAACAGAAATATTGCTGACCTTTCTAGTTACCAGCGATTTGATTCAGCGTAAGTAATGACACAGAGGAAGTCTTGTGTTTCAATGCCATGCCTTGTTACTCTCAGAAGAAAAATGTTCTCCTGAGCCTCTTATCAGGCTGTTGTGGTGATTAGAGGTTAAACTTTAGCTCAAGGACTCCTCAGCCTGAAGCGCTGAACAATAAATACAGATGATTATGAACTATATCTCTTTTCTGGCTGCTGTGTACAGGCTGAAGAGGGTTTTATTGCTTCTTTCACCCTCTTATCTGTTTATCAGTTTCATCCAAATGCTGCTTTGTCATTATTTATTACATCCTCCAGAGTAGTTGTTTCCTGTGTCTCAGTTTCACTGTAAATAGTAAGTTACACAGAGGCTTCACTCTGTTTTCTCACAATTACTTGCAATTTATGAGTCATGCTTTAGCTGAATTAACAACATCCTGATGCAGATTTGTAAATAGTTAGAAATTTTAGTAATTAGTGATAGATTGATCCGGATTAAGTGTCAGTTTAGGGTAGAGGTTTTGACTCCAAATAACCTGTAGTCCCCAGGTCCAACTAGTTTAAACAGTGTCGCTAATTCCTGTTTTTAATTTTCTGATTCCTGTGTTTTTAAAGGCACAGTGAATTACTTTTTCCATTTTACCAGTAAAAGAAAATGGGATGAGGTATTTGCCTGAACAGTTTACTTTCCCATGTACAGAAGTAGAAATATAAGGTATAATTTTGTCCACAGGGGGCGCCAAATCCAACATAAACGAAAAGATCCCCACAGCAGCTTTAATGTTTTTAGACATATTTGAGTTATATAGTGCAGAGGAATAAAAAATAACAGGATATGGATAAATTCAGTACATTTTTCAAGCAGTTTGGTTGGAAAATAAAATATCACAATGTGCAAACTGGAATTTAAACCAGACCACTTGTTGTATGATGGTGCAGCTTTCTCTTCACTTCTAATTTATTGTTACTTTCTACAGGGCTCATTTAAATTCTGCACCAGCATCACTTCTTGAACTATAAAACGTCCTCTCTTTTGGTTGTTTTTCCCTCTGCCTTATAGCAGACTAATATAAAATCAAATTCAAAGTCTAACAACATATGGAAAAGCTGCATGTTTTTATTTATTTCTTTACTTTTATCAGTTTATTTATATAACAATAACAACTCTCGACCTAGAAAAGAAAACACTTGGGTTTGGATTGCAGAAAAGCCTCAGTATGATATTTGATCCTACCATGTGTGCAGCAAACAAACACACAGACTTACTCTTTGTAGGGGATCTACTCGACATGCATCAATTCCACACCAGGTTTATATCTGACGGAGCACATTTCTTCCTTGCTGTGCTGAGGTTTCTCCAGGCTCGAGATCCACATGTGGGGGTCTGCTCATCATGTTTTAAATTCACACTGTTGTGCTCTTCTGGAGAAATGCATGATGTAGGACTCCTTTTCAGCTTTTGTAGTTTTAATTTTAGTTATTGTGTAGTCTTTGTTTTTTTAAATTTTGCTCAGGCTTCATCTACATTTTATGAAGCTTTGACTCGAGATTTTCTTTTTAATTTAGATTAGGTTTAATTCAGATTTTTGCAGGAGTTAGTTTATATTTCAGACACATGGAAAGAAGGAACAGCAGGTGTTTTTGGACATGGCTAATGTTTCATGTTATGTGTCTTGTTGGCTGATACTAGACGCCTGAATTTCTCATGCCATCTACAACATTACTGATTTTTTTAAATGTTGGCAGCAGCCCATCATGTCTCTTTTGCCGTGACATTGACTGAAAAACAGCCAAGCTTATGTGCAAACATGCCACTGTTGGTAGTTTTTATATGATGTCCGTATTAAGATGATGTTGCTTAAGTGAGATATCATGTTGTACTTATCTGAAGTTTACCTCATCAGAGAAAATAATTGCATTCATGGCAAAAGTTTGTTTTTGTTCAAGTGTAATTTGGTTTATGTCCTGAAAATTACAGGTGGGAAAAATGAACTATATTTGAAATGTTCATATTAATAAACTTGGATTTGATATGCTGTTAATGTGGATGTACAATCATTTAGGAAAGATATGGATATGTGTGGTTATCTTACGTGTGGTTTGCTGGCTGCTCCTCACACACCTTTATGTTTGTAATACATGCAGGATTTCAGAAATACTGCCCAGTCTGTGGATTTTAGAGTGATCACATAAATCTGTTACAGTTCTTTAAAGATAGAGGTAAGAGGGTGATGGGGTTTATGTTTCTTGATAGAGAAAAAAAACACCCAAAGTTTTATACTGCGCCCTTCTTTTGAAAGTAGGAAGAGTGTTTACCTATCGTCATAGAAACAGCTGTAGGATGGAACGGTTTGAAACTGTGCTGATTTAAAAATGTGTGTATTGTTATGAAATCTAGAATCCTGTCTCTATATATATGTAAGTCCGTTAGATCCACTAGACTTTCAGACCGAAACTATTCACTGACAGAGTTAGTTGAAGACCTTTGTTGCGGACAATTTGTGTGGAGAACCTTGGAGATATCGGAATCAGTTGGTTGGAGATTTTTTTTACAATCAATTTGTGTGGAGAACCTTTTTTGTTGTGGAGATTTGTGTTTGATTGGTGTGTAACACCTCCGTGTTTTGAAAATGAATTCGACTTCAAAAATGCCAAGCTGTTCGTCAGCAAATGAAGACTGTGATGTGCAACTGAATGATGAGATCAACAGCAGCACCAGTCGCTACCTTGTGCAGGATTTCATCGGCAAAGGAGCCTTTGGCAAAGTTGCCAAATCAGTGAATTTAACCACTGCTAAGGCCGTCGCCTTAAAGATCGTTGTAGCAAAGGACAAAAGAGCTTCAAAAAGAGAGGTAGAGATCCTTCAAGTCTGTTTGAGAATTATGCCTTTGACTTTTGATTTGATTTTATTTATTTTATTTTTTTGTGTGCAGCTGTACTGATGAAACTTTTCTTTGTCACAGATCAAGATGCTCCAAACCATCAGGGCTCTTGACCCGGCTGGCTCAAATGTTGTTGAGTTTTTTGAAGCGTTCGAGCACAAAGGTCTAACTTGTCTGGCTTTTGAAATGCTGGACAGAGACCTGTTCCAGCTTTTGATGGAGAGGCAGGAAAGGCCTTTGTCGCTCAATGAGATCAGGCCGATTGCACAGCAGGTACAGAAATTGTGTCCAGTTGATCAATGAAGTAAAACACAACTGTAAAGACGAAATAAAACCATACAGCACATTTCCTCTGATCTGTAAACTCCTGCACACTTGTTCGCTGTAACCCTCCTCATTTTTCACTCTTTCTTCCTGCAGCTTCTCACAGCCTTCGAAGCCCTGAAAGGAATTGGCGTCATTTATGCAGACCTGAAGCCCGATAACATCATGCTTGTCAACCATGAGACGCAACCTTTCAGGGTCAAACTTATAGATTTTGGCCTCTCACTTCAGACTAGTGAAGTGAGAACTGGTTTACTCACACAGGCTATCGGGTACAGGTAAGTGCAACCATCGAAGCTCACCCTCTTGGTGATGTTTCAGCTGATCATCCAGAGGTTAAAATTACACATGCATGTGTGACAAAGCTTGAACTAACTGGTGCTTTGCAAACAGGGCCCCAGAAGTGATCTTGGGCCTCCCTTTTACCGAAGCCATCGACATGTGGGGACTCGGCTGTGTGCTGTCACTGCTGTTCCTCTCATGTCACCTTTTTGGGATTCACTGTGAATACCAGCAGGTAAGTTACTCCTTCCTTTGTTATTTGATCACTCCAGAACTAGTCCAAACTCAACCAGAGACCTGATGTAGAGTGGTTCTTTGTGTTTGGTCCTAGATGAGGAACATCGTAGATGTCCTTGGTCAGCCAGATGACCGTCTCCTTGATGCCGGGATCTTCACCAAAAAATTCTTCAGCGTAAACCGGCACTTGGACAGAAAGTGGTGGCTAAAGGTATTTCTACTCTGTTCCCAAGCTGTTCAACCTGTTTTAGCTGTAACCTATCCAGATTTCATCTTCAATTTATTGATTTCAGGACAAAGTGTCTGACACTGTATGTTTTATTCTTGTAGTCTCCGATGGAGTACAAGAAGGCAACTGGGGTGGAGCCCAAAAAGTGTGAGAGGGCTCTAAATAAGCTGGATGACATTGTGACAGTAAGTGGGACATTTGAGTGGAGTGGAAAGAACAAATACCAAATCACTTCAGAGACAGGAGCAAGTAAGGTGAACTTTCCTTTAATTTTGTGTCAATGCAGCTCGTTCCAGACATAGAGGAGTGTATCGAGCTGGAGGACCGAAAAGCTTTTGTGAGCCTCCTGAGTGGTCTTCTTCACACCGACCAAAACCAGAGGATCACTCCTGAAAAGGCCCTGAAACACCCGTTCATAACGATGGTGCATTTAGAAGAAGAGGCCGACTCCAGCATGTAGTAAGTGACAGTCTTCTGGTTGCAGAGATGTTTGCCTTGATGATTTGAAAACTAATCATGATCTAATTTTCATTTTTCACTTAGTGTGGAAGAGTCACATTATAAAATGACTCTTGGCCAGAGTGAAGGCTTAAATGAGGATCTGAAATTTGATCCAGAGCCAGAAGAGCCCCCCACAACTGACAACACTTCAGCCAGTCTTCATCCTGGACCTGTAGAGCCAGCCCCACCAGGTTTCTGTGCTGAATGTCCTCCATCATTTCATAAATCTGCTGTGGACCACCATGTAGTAGAGGTCAACCTGAAGGAGACAGAACAGCCTACCAAAGAAGCAGCAGCTTCAGACGTGAGAAAAAGCCCTCTGAAGAGGATGAGGAAGTTCTTCAGCAGGGTCATAAGGACGGTGTTTAGGACCAGGAGGATGTCCTAAAAAATGTTAAATCAGTGAACTTTTGTTGTCATCTGAGGATCTAAAATTTGATCCAGAGCCAGAATGGCCCCACAAAAAATTTTTTTTTGATGTGCTTATTTTTGACCTTTTGTGGTCCCTGTAAAATGTGAGGAGTCGAAGCCAACGTAAGGCAATACACAAGATTATGAAAAGTTAAATAGCTTTGAACTGAAAACTGTGAATGGAGAAATGTGTGTAGAAAGTAACTTTTGTGAAGTTTAAGACTGTAACTTGATTTAAAACCATGTCATTTCAAATTGTATATGTTTTCATTGATTCTATTGTCTTGTAAATTTTATTAATATATTTGCTTGTTTTGACTTGTAATCTCAATTTCCTTTTGAGAATAAACAAATGTTTGGATTTGAATCTGAATTTGAATGTTAATTTGAAGGTGGGACAGAGGTAAGAGGGTCTGTAGACGGCCACTTTCTGTTGGACAAAGGTGGGGGAAGCTTTTCAACTCTGACCTACAATACTCAGGGTTTCTTGATCTTTTACACACTGCATTTCTCATAACTTGTTGGATCCATGCAGGGACACTGACTTTATCTGTGCAAACACAAACAGTGCACAAATTGACTGTTTCATGTGGGTGAAATAAAGAAATGAACTGTGATCTGATCTCTTAATTGGTGGCATTTTGTGCTTTGGTTTAAAGGAAATTGAATGGACCAATCTGTTTCTGAGGGTTAAATTGGACTGTAGTCAATGACTAAACACCTGGCAAACATTTAACATAAAAAACGAAGTATTTTCAAGCATAATAAGACTGAGAGTGTGTTAAACAAGCAGCAAACTGCAAAAAAAAAAAAAGTCGGCAAAGTGGAGGGGCCCAAACTGCAGTACCTTGAATGGCCACTTGAGGCTGGCTTTGAAAGGGAGTCAGTCCTCATACAGCCCAGTGAATATTAAAATGCTCACCTGCTTAATAGAAATCAACATCTCATAAATGTAAAGGAGTTAGGGTAGAGCAAGGGGAAAGGGAAGGATTTAGATCAGTCAGTGTGGACTAGGAAAGAGTGATGTGGCAGGGTTAAAAAAGGGGCTCAGGTAGGGTATCATGAGAAGAAGTTTGGGGAGGGAAGAATGAAGGGGGGTTAGGGTAGGATGTGATGAGCAGGAGTCCTGTTGGAGTACGATTATTGAGTTTAATTAGGATGAGAAAGAAGTTGAGGTAGTCATATGGTGCTAGGGTGTAAAAATAAGGAAAGGCAGGGTAAAAATAGAAAGACTCTGGGTGGGCTACTATGAGAAGGACCATGGTGAGCTGCATGCAGGCTGCATAAATATTTTGATACAAAGTGGACTAAATTTTTAATGCTGCCAGTATAACTCCTTCAAAAAAGCTTAGTCTTTAAATAAAATGGACGGTTTCATGATTGAGCCTCTGGTTTCAACATTTCATTTAGATGTGGATCATGCTGTGTAAGAAATTGTAAATTGATCCTTCAGGAATGAGAGTCAAGATTTATCACAATCCCCAAGGTTGTTTATATAAGACAGGTGGAAGACGTATTTTCTAAATGGGAATCTCAGCTTCATTCAGATTATTTCATAAATCAAACTCAAGTATAAACTGAAAAATGATGTTGAGATGCCATGAATGATTCATAGCTGTGCAAGATTTACATAGGAGCTGCTCACAGGACCTCTATTTAGAATATAAAATCAAAGTGTGTGCTCCTATAGAGAAGCTGGTATTTAATCTCATGCATGTAAATACCTAGAATTAAAGACAGAAACACTAACGCTGATGAAGTACGAGCAGTCTTACCTTTAAACTTGGTGGAACAGTTTTCAGAAACAGTCTTCCTGTCTCCTGGCACAACAACAAACACTTTCCCTCAAAGCATTGTCCAGCCTCTGGGTTCATCATCTGCATCCATAATCTGTGGATAGTAATATGAGCAGGATGGGTCAACATGAGGAAATCATCTCTGCTGCTGTATATCTCTTTGGCAGAGACTTCTTTTAATGGACCATCAACTTTACTTTCCTGGACTAGGACAGATTGGCTCCATCTCTGATCCCTCCATGGAAGCAGTAACAGAGGAGAGACGAGGATAATTCACTACCCTGCTGCTGTGGAAGTGGGATGTGCAATAGGTTAATTGTTACAAGCAGTGTCTCTACAAATGAACTTTTTTCGCATTTTTTTGTGCTTTTCACTTCTTTATTTTTTTTACTGACCTACAAAAACTTATAAACAAATCTGAATTTTACTACACACACACAAAAGTATATTCATTTTGGACTTGAACAGTATGCACGAAACTCTGTGACGGCTAACTTATTGATTCAAATATGTTTATACTTCTTTTTTCATATTTACTGAGTCACTGAATGTATACCTGTCTGTGATTTGTATGCAGTTCTTCCTGAGTGGGAGAAATAGTTGTCACTAACTGAAATAAACTTCACTTGAAACTTGAAATTTGAAGCATTCGTGCATTCAAGCAGGCTCACACATCTGCATGCCTCATGCTCACAATATCAGTGCAACATGTTTATGTTAGGGCCCCCATCAAGGGGGTTTGATTTGTTATATAACAGACTGAAATTATCATTGATGACTATCCCTGACCAAGGAAAGCAAATAAAACCAAGACCTATAAGACTGACCATTTCTACATTATTTGTTATTTCTGTAGTACAGGTGTCAGATGACATGATTTAAGGTTTCTTTTGTTTTGCTTTTCCCACAGCAAATATTCACAGTGGTTAATACATCAACTATTAAAAGATAGCAGGATTATATTATTCTAAGAAAACGTTACTTACCCATGCACAGGATAAGATCAGCAGGGGGGACCAGGTATTGCTTGGTCAATGGTTCCTCATGGGAGTTTTAAAGGCACTATGAGGTGTTTTTAGCCGGTTGAGAAATAGCCTAAAAGTGATATGAGTGCTTTTCTATGACCTTCAAAATCAAATGAAACCATTAGAAACAAAGCTGAAAATTTCTCTGTTGTAGATTTTGAGGCCTGAAAAAAACTTCTTTGACTGTATACAGGACAAGGTATCACTTTTTCCACAGGGGGCGCCAAAACTCACACAAACCAAAAGATCCTTTAAGTAGGTGTGTTTTTGTTTTAATAGGTACATGCTGATTAAAACTATGAGAAAATCCAGCAGATTCTGATAGAAATGGCATAATTTTCAGATTCTGCACAACTTGGTCATATTTGAGAAATTCTGGTGGTGCATAATTGAGAGTCAGAGTATAGTAGTTATTTCAATCATACCTCCATAGAAATCTTTTATCTAATAATTTCTAAAAGTTTCACTTGAAAAGACAAATTGTTCTTTAACGGCATTAGAGAAAAGTTAGGGATCACTAAAGTTGGCAGATGTTTCCACAAAATCAGCTCCCAGTTATTTCAGTCTGGATTTAAGAGGTAAACAGATCAACAATCAGACCCACAGAGTGATACGACCAGAATAACTAAAAAGATGGTATTCATAAGCTGCTAAAAAGTGCTTGATTTCTGAGTGCTTTGTTGATATATTCAATTGTTATACGATGTAATGCACAGAGGAAATGAAGAAGCTGCTGACAGCTGGAAGAAAATCTAATTATGGATGCTGCTGAAGCAGCTCCAGTTACTCATTAGGAGACGTAAGCATAATTTAAAGTTGGAAAAAAAACATGTATCATCTCTATGTGGAGTTGACTGGCAGCACTATTATGAAACTGTTTGTGTCTGAAAAGTTTTCTTGTTGACTTCTTTTCCTGGAAGGTGAAAATAATAAAGTCTGTAAAATACTTCAAAAGAAGAAAAATAAAGATGACTTTCTACTTTGTTAAGTTATTGTGTAGCTGGTGTGTCAGGCAGAGTTCAAAGGAAAGTGGACTTAAGTAGGTGAAACTGAGGAAACAGGAGACAAAGTAAAGATGATGAGGAGTGCGTGGAGGACTTGCAGCAAGGCTGACACTCAAGACTTTGTGATTATCTGGGGAACTATTTAAAAAGAGCCAGACAAGAAGCCGAGACGGCTTGAATAGTTGCAGACAGAATTACAGTAGTTTTATGTAATGTGCAAGTTAAAAGCCCAGGTTAGAGGCCTGCAAAGGAAGAACAAGAGGGTGAGGGTTAACAGCACAGCTTATCTAAAATCCAGACATCCTGAATCCTCAAATGTCAAACCTCAGCAGGTCAGCGTACTTCAAATTAAAAAGTCTGCTAGAATAAAGGAAATAAAGAGCTGTACAAGGACAGTCTGCTTCAGCTCTGTAATGCAGTAAAAATGAACAAAATTCATCCTGCCAGCTGTGAGCGCCTTGGCAAAGAAGTCAGTAAATAATGGAGATTGACAACAGCTGCAGCTCAGACACTAGCCAAACATGATAGGAGTTGTTCAAAAACCGGAGATGGGAGTTTTACCACAGAGAATCAAGCAAAATCATCCACAACAACAACTTACCAATAACAATGCTGTCCATCATAATTATCAGATACATCATTGTCTGAGAGAATATACAGGCTAAATCTGAATTATTAAAAACCAACATTGAGAGTAGCATAACTTACCTTTCCCTGGAGCCTGAGAACTTTAAATGAAACTTCCATGAGGTACTAAAGCACTTCCTTTGGGAATCTGAATGGTAGAAAGATGAGAAATGGAAAACCAATCTTCCACAGCTGCACTGAAAAATAACTGCAGCAGGAGCAGTAATTTACAGGCCATCAGCTGGCCTGTAAAACTTACGACCACGGGCAACTCAGGCAGGCGCAGTTTAACAAGGACCTAATGAAAAAAACTACAGTTTCCTGGTGATAATGGCAGCACACGCAGATGCTTTTCACCATCTTTGAAGCATAAAAAGCCACAGTGTGAGAAGAAACACTGACCGATCAATGAACACCGCTGTGAGCATCTCGGATTCAATCTTCAGTGACAATGTGGCAGTAAGAGGTTTATCAAAGAGGGCAGGAAGAGTTTAACAGTATCTGTCGCCAAGGCAATCATACCAAGAAGACAGTTATTTGGATGACAACAGCTAAATGTTTCCAAAGTATCAGAGAAATATGATCAATAGAGAATAATGATAATACAACAGGCAATAAAGATTCAAAGATTGGAGCATTACACTGTAGGATTAATAAATGTTTGTCTCACACTTAGCTGAGTAAGATCTGAACAAGGATAACATAAAATGTAAAATATGAAAACTTTGAGCAAAAGAAACATATTGAATTTACAGTTTTTGCAGTGGAGTCTGGTTTATGAGATAGAAATGTGCCATCAAAGTAGTATTGGATCTGTCTTTACTGCCCCTCATGGGAAATGTCTGTTTGCAGCAGACAAATACAAACAGATTCACCCATAAATTAAACTGAAAACAAATATACTACAATAATAAAACAAATAAGAGTATTTCAGCACATCCTGCTTATTCTTCTACATTTCATAAGACCGTATAATTTCAGCCAGAGCATGTGAAAGGTATAAAAGTCATAGTACTAAATAGAAAAGCCACTGTGGGAATATACTGATGTTTACTTTTTATTCATTACTAAGGTTCATATCTGTCCTCTGCAGGGAAGAATACGACACTGAGCAAACTTTCAGCTGATCTCTGCTACTGCTTAAGTCACTCACCCTGTTTCTTAAAGTGGCAGCAGGTTAATCTCCGACCAATATTAGAAAATAACACATTAACTTTTTAAATGTTTTTTAATAGGGTGTAGCTTACGAACAGATTTATGATCTCAGGTAGAATAAGGGGAGATTTGAATTATTACACTTAACTCATTTTTAGGCTTGGAGATGACCATGGTGTTGGAAAAACACCTGAACTATGTTGGTTAGGGCGATAAAAGCTCCGCCGTTATAGAAAACATCCTCAATCGAGAAGATGATGACCTGAGTGGGCGCAAAGATTGCTGCTGTAGAAGAGAGACAAATTTAATAATAAAAAAACATACTTTTCATCATCAGAGAAATTGGCCTCCAGCATGTCTTCACCTGCACAGTGTCTGTGATAACAAAGGACCACAATGTACACTACAAGGAAAGACACTGACATGGATCTTTAACTTGAACCATCGCCACATTCACCATGGCCTCAGCCAAAACTAAACAGCATCACTGACTCTTGAGACGAGTAAACAATAAAACAACTAAAACAGAATAAAAAAAATCTAACAATAATAATACAACAAAAGAACAGTTCAATGATCTCTGTCAAACTGCTCTGTAAAAAGCTCATTGAAGCTTCAGCACTTTGATTCACCCAATGAAACCAAATGTTTGTCCGTGAGGGTTACATTAACAAACAGAACAGCTGACTCAGGACAAAATCAAAAAACATGAGTGGACCCCATGAGGCGTAGGAAAGTTGCTATCTTGGTAGAAACTTATGGGGATCCAAATGAATTAATAAAACAAATAAATAAGCATACTCAGTGGTTTGTAAAATGATGTGTTAAGCCTTTTAGGTGGAGGGAGAGCCCTTAGCAGAGCTCGCTGTGAAGGGAAACTATTTGGAGAATTCACAAGGTGCCTATTAATCACATTTAGGAGAGAAATCATCATTCAGACAAGTGCTGTGTTCAAGGTTTCACAGAATAAAAGAGATTGAACAATTTCAGTCATTTCGCTGCTTTTAGAAAACACAGTGTGGGCTTTTCAGTACTAGGAGGGCTGTACATGAAATTACATTTCAAACCGTAATCATGCCTTTTTCACAATTCGCTCATTGTTCAACCAAGACAAAAAGGCTTGATATTCCTGATGTTTTTTGACGAATCACTCCCGGTCCAGCTGCTTATATCGTTCTTGAAGTGTTTCAGTGATCAATTTAAACTGATTCATCCATTTAAGAGGGGCAAACACTGACCAAAGCAGTTAAACATAAGAGTATTTCAGCTTGTCTTCTCAGTGAAATGACCACTTGACCATTACAATATGGACAACATTTAAATACTGTGAAAACATTTTCTTCTTACAACTTTTCAGCAGTCCTTCCACTTTGCCTTAGGGTAAGTTTTCACTTTCATATCATTGTCTTGAATACTTATTCCAACATCTGCTATTTTAATTATCTCAGGATTCAAAACAAGACTTCATCTGTGCACTCGCCCCTGCACTGAAACCAAATACACTCCTCATAAATTCATTCTCTAAAACACATTCAAAAAGACTCCACAGTGTTGTTATTGCACACAAGACTCCCCCGTGAGTATTCTTTACAAACTTTCTTTCTGTGTAATTTCAGTATACCTTTGAAACATCAACAGTAAGCAGGGATGTGATTTGGGGATTTTAAGGGTCTCTTGGTGATTCTAGCGAGTACATACTTTGGTGCACATCGTTTGATGCCCCTGAGCTTGATATCTTTCTTGGTTTGAAGTTGTTCATTTTGTTCTTTAAACTCCTAATCCCAACATTAATAGTGTAATATTAATATGTTTGGTTAATATGTGTAAATCACCCCATTCCCATAATAATAACTGGTCAAATAAAGGATGCACATTGAAAGTTCTCAAACAACACTGTCCCCTGTTGGTGGTGTGGAAGGACCCAAACTACCTGATCATAAGAGACTTTAGTGTAAAAAAAAACTGACACAGACTGGACTTTATTAAACAAGTGAGAAAAACTCTTTTCTTTAAAGTCGCTCTTTTTAATAATAAATACATCTCTCTCAATAAACATAACATTTATCTACATAGAAAAGTGTATCTCTCAATCTAAACTCAACCCTCAAAAAGAGTCCTATCATACAATCAAGCAGTATTCTCTACGTCTTTCAACACATTCCTTATTGACCCTATTTCATAAGTGATTGTCGCAGCAGTTTCTCCACATTTATCCAGCCATAGAGATGGTTAACGGCGGACAGACTGACAGTCATCGGGAATATTCATCCTTCGAAAAACCTTATTGCTAGCTCATCAAAATATTGACACTTACAGCTGCACATATGTCCTTGTTTCTGTTTGGTCCCAACATATTTTTAAACTGTAACCTTTATTTGAAATGATTTTAGCAGGCCAACCAAACCTACCACATCTACACAGATTTACAGGACGTGAAGATAACCTCACAGTTGTTACTGAAGAAGTTAAGTGTCATACCGACATTCATTATGTCTGCGTTAAATGATATAACAGAATTGCACATTTATGTGGCCCTTTTCAGGGTAATGACCCATGAATGATTATGTTGGACAGGATGTCTGTGCATGGTGCAGAGGCCTCTAACTTGTTTTAGTCTGACTACTATAACCAAAAATCACAAGCAGCTCGGTTGCTGTACAGGAACCTCTTTTTGCCACATAAGCATCAGAGTACTCTTCAGAGTGGAGTTGTTATGTTATTCTTCCACCTTAGTTTTCCTTTTGGAGGTTTTTGGCTTCGGGTTGACTTCCTCTACAGGTTCAGGGGAGCCTGGAGGATCGCTGGGCGGGCTGGGGGCATTCTCCACATCAGGCTCTGGCTCAAGGGGCATGGAGGGACTTTTAGAAACTCCTGAAAGAAACGAATGACAGATTATTTTGTTTGCAATGATCCGAATGAATGAAAAAGATGGTGTTGTATTCTCTTTGGATCCCCCATGACATGTAGTTATAATTCTCAAAATGACAGAACCTGATTTAGACTCTGGAGCTTAAACAAGATCTGGTCCACAACAACTCAAGCCTACATATCTGACAAAAAGTATTTGAGTCCTATTCCTATGATTATCATGGACTAGCAACTGTGAACTCACAGGTCAGACTTCTGTTTTAACAAGAAGATCTTAACAAAGCCTGAAAAGCACTGCTAAACTGGGTTTGGAAATTAAGCCGTCATTTCTCTTCTATGTATCAATAACTTCAGTCATAGATCAGATTTATAGGTTACAAGCTATCAAGGTACAGCTGCTCTTATGTCACGGATGAATTCTGACCTCTGGCTATTTCAGTTTACAGATTGGCAGATGTTACAGCCTAACAACAATGCTACTGACACCAGAAATGCAAACAAACTTCTCTTTAAATAGCCATCATCTCTACCAGTAAAACGATGACATGCTGCTCTACATTAGCTAACTGTACAACATATTTACAAGCTTTATTTGTAGTCACAACAAGTTTATTGTTAAACGCTTATTGTTGGTTGTGGAGTAGATATATTTTCAGAGCTGTGTGATTATGCAAGATGACAGCCGCTGAATATGGATGCATTGTTCTGGTGTTAACAGCTAAACGACAGTGGGAGAAAAAAGCCCACAGCCTCTCGAGAGGTAAAGCTCTCAGAGTCCTCTCACATTTGTGAGTTGTAGAATGCATTAATCATTTCAAAGAAACCTTGAATTCATGAGCTTACAGTAGCTATTTGTCATTTTCCAAAGTTATTGACCAAGGATATACTGTATACAGGTTAGAAGTTGGCTTTTGTTTGATATATCCCATTTGGTCTTGGCTCAAATATTCTATCAGCCATAGCAGAAGAGACACAAAGCTGTCAATAAACAGGAAAATTAGTTTTCAGTCCAGTGGAGGAAGTGAAAACTGTGAAATTTGTCATCAGCTGCAGTGACAGAGGAGCACTGAAGTTTGTGGTGAAAAATGGTTCTTTGTGGTCACCTCAGTTTAAGTCTGAGCTCAGACTACACATATAAACAGTTGTAAGTAATAGTGTCATGATTAACAAAAGCAAAAGAAATAGTTTTCACAGTATTTCATGCTGAAATGTTCAATCAGTTGGCTAAGGTTCATTTGTACCCAAATCAGAGCTTCACCATTACAGTCGCACACAGGTGACTTTAAGGTAACTGTCGCATTAAACAACCCAGTCTGTTAAGATGTACCTGTTGGTAGTTGGATGTTCTTGTTGTAACTCGCAGCTGAAGACATAGCTTGGCCTAGAGCTTGATTGGTTCCAAGGGGGGCACCGGGGGTTTTGGTGGCTGCTGCAGAGTTTGGTTTAGATTTGGAGTCCTTGCCTGGTTTAGTCCACACTAGACTCTCTGTCACCTGCAGGGCAGTCCCCATCTTCTGAGCCATGTCCATCAGCTGTTAATGACAGGACAGGAAGGAAAATATTACAAGTCATCACTTTAACGACCAAAATTAGAGAGTAAAGTCTCTTGGATCTGAAAATACCTCAGAATCAAATTCAAAGCTGCCGCTGTTGTCTCGAAGTAGGTTGACCTTTCTCTCCATCTCCTGATACTGATCCAGAGCTCTCTTCTTGTCGCCGTGATTATAGAGGAAGATGGCAAAGTTAAGGTTGACCAGAGGGTTGGATCTGCTTGGATGCGATCACAAGGAGAGAAAAAAGTTTCCCATGACCTTCCTACAGATTCAAACACTTGCAACAGATATTCGAGATTTAAGATGCTAACTCACTCATCCATCGTCACAGCCTGCTCATACGCTCTGGTGGCATTGTCTTCATCCTCTAAGTTGGTTAAAGCCACTGTTAAGAGAATTTCAATAGCATTCAGCATTAACCTCATCAGAATTATAATGTGCACCATTTCTGTAGTATTACTTTGTGCAGAGCAATAAACTACCTAATATCAGTTGCCTTTATTTTGGCCATAAATAACCAGGAGAATTTTTCAAGAGGACTTTCTCTATCCTTCTGACTCAGTACCTGCGAGTAACATGTAGAGCTCCCCCATACGTGGGTTCAGGTTGATGGCTGCGCTGAGGAAGTGGAAAGCAGAGGCATACTGCTGCATCGTCAGGTGTACCAATCCCAGGTTGTATAACACTTTCCAGTCAAAAGGAGACAAGTAGTGGGCTCGCTTCAGGCAGCTGATGGCCTGCGGGGAAAGTGAAATGGAAGAGTAGTCGAAAGCTGACAGGATCGTTGGACAAGTTTCTTAATAATATATGACACCATACAGAAGAGATAGGCTCTGTACAGTGGCAGGTATGTGAAATACCAAATTTCAAAATAACCTCAATTTTTGGGGTTTCTTATTGGCAAAAAACACAACAAATTTAAAATTTAGCTGTCTGTTGGTTAATCTAAGAAATCAGTGTGAAGGCATCTTGTAGGCAAATTTACAACAATGCAGTGTGCAGGCCCAGATTGTGTTTGTGTGCTTCATGTAGGCGGATCAACCCTGATACAGTTCCCTTTAACTCATGTGCTACTGTGCAGTACTTTAACAGATTGTTCCTACAGATGCACCAGCGTAAACACAGTGTTTTATTGTTGCAGGTGGTGAAGTTGGACCACCAACACATTTTATACCGAGTAAAATAAAGTCAGTTATTTTCAGTTATTCCAAATTTGGAGAATTTTTTCACCTTCAAGATGTCGCGGCATGAATCTGTGATGATTTACTGGGAAAGGGAAAAGGGAAATAATATCAAACACTACGTAAATATTTACTCTTTACTTGCCGTTTTGAAAATCTTTACTTTTCAGTCAAATATTGGATCCCTGTCTCTCTTCTGACCTTAAACTCTTATTTGAATGAAACAAGCGGAAAAGTTGAGATAAGTATCTTATTGTTTGAGCATCAAAAATTCATTTGCATATGAAATATGAAAAGAAATCCAAACTAGATATTACAGTGTTCTGAGCAGTAACATGCACTGATTTAATGTATAAAAAAGTTAAAAATGCCATGCTCATTTTGAGTTTTTTCATGTGTAAAACTTGATGAGAAAAGTCTGATATTTTAAATGAATCTACTGTAAAAATGTGAGACAAATGGCAAACATTTATTTATTAAGAAAGAGTAACCAACATCTAATCCAATAAACAGTTATATTTACTCACAGCAACATATTTCTTTTTTCCAAAGAAGCACATGCCAATGTTGTTCCACAGCGGGGGGTTCTCTGGCACAGCACATGCCGCCACTCGGTACTTGTTCATGGCCACATCAAAGTCGCCATGAGTCTGCATCATGCTGCCTGCAGCCAAGATGGCCTGGGAATAAAAACAATGATTAAAGATATATTAGAGGAAGATGTTCCCTTTGAAAAAGCTCATGATGAAAGACGGACAGATGTAACCTTTATTTTGACTGAAATGCTTTGACTGAAATCCAATGCACCGCCATACCTTGTAATTGTTTGGGTCAAAAGTGAGGGCATTTCCAAGGTGCACGAAAGCTTTTTGGTATTTCCCAAGCTGCAGAAAACAGAACACAGAAAATTATGCATGCACTCCTTTTCAGATGTTTTCAACAGTGCACAGTAAATGTCACTTTTCTTGTCGAGCTTTTTTATTGTGTACACATAATTAAACTGAAAAGGTTATGAAGAAATCCTCCCACCTGCAAGTACAGTAGACCAAGAGTCGTCAGCAGCTCGGTATTCTCAGGAGAAAATCTGAAGTGAAAATGAGACAAGTCAAATGAAAAATGTCACTTTCTCTGCGCCTGTAATTACATTTTAATTCCTACACTTATTCCAAAGCAAACATAGTTGATATTCAGAGAATCTGCTGATTATTCAATCAGGATTTGATTCAGCACAATTGTGAAGTATTAATTATAACCCGTGGCGAAACCATGTGGTTTTAAATGAAAAAAAGGGTAGACAAGAAGCAGATCAGCATTAAAATAAGATTCACAGCGGTACCTCTCATTAAAAGCATCACAAGCGTTGAGCCATTCGATTAATTCATTTAACCCCAACAGGAGGTAACCATCTGAAGCTCCATTTTAGACACTCATGTCTTTTCCTTATTTACACTGTGGCTTGATATTTTCATATCCTACATGTGAAGCAAAAAATTAACATAATGTCTCCCCGACTGTGAAAGGCCCCAGGTTAAAATGTGGCAAACTTAGAGCTTTGTGTGAGTTTGAAGGAGGAGCACCTATTTAAAGTGAGAAGACTACAAATCCACTAATAAATCAAGAGGAAACCTCAAAGGAACTGACTTCCTCTGACTTAGCATGTCTTCTGGCAGTGGATGACAGGAGATGTCATGGTGAAGATAAGTGTCAGTCTGAAGCTTTTTAATTGCTGACACTTATTGCTGAGATATTGCTAAACTAGAGTAACTGTCCAGAAAACAATGTAGCTGGACTAACTGGTTACTTAACTGTTTTTAATGTCTGTCTAGTGTTCTTAACAATGTCCATCTTTGAATTTGACTTACTCCACTGCTCTCTTGTACACCTCGATGGCCTTATCGGTGTCTCCAGCCAGCAAATGAACCTTCCCAAGCATCATAAAAGTCTTGTCCTGCTTGTTTATCTGAAGAGCTGCATTAAGATGCTCTTCGGCCTGTCAAAATACATAAATTACACATAAAAAGTCACAAGGGAACAAGTCGAATATCTACCTTCATTACACGTGTGAAATAGGAATACCCACATTTTTGAAGTCTTTGATGAAGAAATAGCACAACCCCAGATTATGGCTGATCTCCTGTGGGGAGAAAAAGTTAAATTACACATGGGGCGTTGGTGCATACTAAATTGAACAGGGATGGATAATGCCTGAGCTGAATCCCCAAACATAAAAGTAATTTAAAACATGGTAAAACATCATTTAGAAGTGCAACCATTTCGCTGTTACATAAGTGGGGGGAAGAGGTTAATTCTTGGCAGGTCTCACCCAACATTTGGGGAGAACTTTGTGGGAGAAACTTCATGCTGAGTTTTAAGAGTGACAGATGTTGGGCTCACTTCACACTCTCTTTTTCTAACCGTGACCCAGAGCAGAATGTGAGCTCTGAAGTGCCGCTTTATTTACCCAGTCTTTCTCGTTGAGCCTCGCAGCTTCATGGTAGAATTCAATAGCGGCTTTGTGCTTTCCCAAGAGAAACCTGCGGTAAGAAAAAACAACAATAATCCGTAAGAGAAATTAATAAGTCATTATCACTGCATGCTGAATAGCCGCTCTTACAATCCTAAAACAGTGGAAAATGTCACTGGAGTTGGATTAATTTCTCCCTACAGCATCCTAGCCATGAGTGGTCTGCACTTTGGCTGTTGTCGCTGTTATTTCTCAGCTGTGCCTGCCTTGTTAGTTAACACAGAGGGGTTGATGCAAGTAGCATGATTAAGGAGGGTAGCAGACTCACAGTGATCTCGCCACTTGCTTGAGATTGTCAGCGCTGCTGGGATTAAGGATGGCGCAGCTCTGAAACAGCTCCAGGGATTGTTGGATCTTGCCCTCCAGTCGTAAGATTAGTGCTGTGGCAAGACATAAAGACACAAAGAGAGAGGGGATGTTACACTCCATGAGGAAGTACAGAAACACACTGAAATCAAAGGCACAGCAGGGGGCCCCGAAAAAGCAGATTTTGAGGAACTAAATGATGTATGGGGGAGTGTGGGCGCCAACTACCACAGAGCCTCCATTTGATGTAGTTATTAATTAACATCAAGCATGTAAGAAATGAGAGAGAGGTTACAACAAAAAACTGCTGCTCACCTTGAACATAAATGGCATATTCACACATCCCATTAGTCTCCTGCAGCTGTTCTTTGATGATCGCCTGACGGACAAAGATCAGGAGAGAATTTTTACAACTTGGCTAAATGTTACTGATATTGAATGCTGCTCGAGTTAATGGCTACTTTGCTTGAAATATAGCTGTTCATTTGATGAATAAAGTTTCATGCCTCTGCACCACACCAGACTGAACCTAATTTTGTGTTGGCGGCAAAACACTAACAGGACTTGTGCAAGTTTGGTGTTTTCCTGACATTAGAATTAGCTTTTCTAGGCATTTTTTTATTTTGTTTGCAACTAACAGGTGGGAAGAGAGGTGCAAACCAGAGGGGCCTCATTCAGATGATTTACTGAAAATCCAGCTGCTAGTGTTTTGGTAGAAACATGGCCAAGAATTTGTGCTCGGAAAAGAGAAAACAGACACCAACTGATTCTGTTTTATTGGCAATCTGCTGCTACAAAACTGGTGAAATTTGAAAACAGGATTAATGTGATTGGTTGGAATTCGTGTGCATTACAAACAGAATAATGCATAAAATGTAAATTTCTGTTTTATTAAAACATTATCCACCGAGCGAAACCATTTTCATCTGCAGTTATGTGCCCAAATTGCACTGCTTTACCACTGCAGTGGCACCGTTAAAATAGGGCCCAGAGAGTGGGAATACATCTCATTATTGTTTAACAAAATTGGATTCTCTAAGAGGAAGTGAGAAAGAGTAGTCCAGTAATACAACTGAGGGTTCAGGCATCTATTGAGGGATTTCATTAAGCACCTGCTGTTTACTATAGGGAATAAAACAAGTCAATGCAGAGAATTAGGATGTAATTCTGTACAGTGCAGGTATTTATTATCTTCAATGTGTTTTAAAGGTCAACCAGACCTACCAAGACGGATGAAACCAAAGGGAGAGTACAGGAACAAAAGTGCTTTACCTTACAGGTGTCATAGTCTTTGCGTATGTAGTGCTGGTGGATGAGCCAGTTTCTCCTCTCCACAATGGGAAGCTCTGGAGCTGAGAGGAAGAACAAAAGAAGATGAGTAGTCTACAATACAAAAGAATCAGCGTATTTTTTTTAAATAAGCACTCTCCAAACAATGCTTCATTTAGTCAATAGTTGAATAATTGATACTGAAGATGTCCTTGTTTTCCAGGCATTTATAAGTTCTAGATTTGATGGTTTGCACAGGCGCTGCACTCTTACTTAAGCACACAGGCTGTTCTCAAATTCCCTCACAACAAGCATTTAAACAAGATTTCACTTCTACTCCAACTTTTTTACTCTTCTAGTATACTGTACTGCTAAGTTAGAATATCACTACTTTTTCTTATTTTTGTGGTATTTTCAATTCATAGTCAATCTTTTTGGAGCCAAAATAACACTCCGTCTTTCTGCAGTCACTTGCAGGTCTTTGATCTCACAGTTAACACAGATTTTAACACTTCCACCAAGAAAATAAATAAATAAATAAATAAATAAAACCTAGCGCTAAACCATAATCAATTCACCAGCCTACTATAAATGTCACCTTGTAAGCAAGTTTTTCATCACAAACAGTGTTTCATTTCTGTCGCTCTTCTAACGTGTCTGCAGGTTGAGATATTCTCTCCGTTGCCAGGGCAACAATGTCTCTTGCAAGCCAGGTGCTAGTGACAGAAGAGAGACGCTATAAAGAAGGAGTTTGGAGGTATGAGCAGCACAATATAAAGGCAGCTTTCAAAAGGGTTAGGTAACCTCAAGAAGCCAACCATAATGCTGCAAGTCTTCTTCCCTGGGGAGTACAACATTTCATTTCACAAGGAAGCAAACGTAATTCCAATTCGAGCGAGTTTGATTCCGGTAATCCTGTTATCTCGTACCTACTACCTTCCTCCGAGGCTAAAAATAGGTTTCAAGGCAATGTGGAATAAAGTGCGAGGCTTTGAGTCTGCCAATGACATTGGGGGATATCATTAATGAACTGCCTGCGAAAAAAATACAGTGTGAATTACACTAAAGCTCCCCTCTGTTTTTTATCTGTCAGTGCTTCAAGCAGCGCTCTGTTGATTTGCCGCCAGAACTAAAGCCTCCTTCAACTACTTCAGAGAAATCCTCTCCATCGCTGAGTGTGAAACTGCACGGGCTTCACACGTTTGCCCCGTCAAGATCCAAAATGGCCCTATTTGTAGCACCCTAATCCGCTTCCTCCCTGCTGAGACAGCAATAATATTCTTGTCTCTGGGTTTCAGCTGTGGCCCTGTGGTGCTCCAATCTCCCCACACACAAAAGCAGGGTGCATTTGGTGCAGAGAGATGGGATACATGTCTGACATATATTCCTGCAACCACAGTATCAAAAAATGGTAGGAAGGAGAAGGGAAAGGAGCACAGCATGAGGTGTCCTAAATACAGCCCCGTGAAAAACTTTAGCCCAAACACAGAGGGTTTTTATCTCGTTGTTATACTTGATCTGGCTAATTCTGGGACAGATTTGGTTTCCAATTGCCTCAACCATCTGTATGGAGGGGATAAGAGCGGAGGGATGGCATGCTGAGATCAAAAGACACATGCAGAGAGTGTAATGAAAAATATGATGAAAATTATTTTGGAAGTTTTACCACAGACTACTTCAAAAAACCTTGGTCTTTTCAAGTGATTTGGTCTCATAACCAGCAGCAAAAATGTGTTCTCCTCAAGAATATATCAGGAATTAGCCAGAAATACCTTGGAAGGAAAAACAGGGGCAAGATTACGCCACTTATGGCAAGAGACTGATGATTGAATTAAACTTTTAACCATGCTGTCCTAAAAACAGAAGACCATTATAAGTACATTATAAGCTTTACTTCCTAGATTTTAAGAAGCAGACTTTATTTCTTTGTTGTGATTGTGGTTATAGTTTTTCAACACTATCTGTGTTACACTTAGAATACAGTATTTAAACAACACAGAAAGTATCAAACTAGTTTTATTGCTCAGACTTTTGACTTTTCACAGAATTAATCCACTGTCAGAAACAAATGGTTCACCCCTATTTACACTCAGTTGACTTTGTACCAATTTTATCAATTAGTTCAGACGAAAGTCTTGACTTTATACAAATTATGTCAGCTTAATTAATATTTACAAACTTAGTCTAGTATCTCACATCGAGGGCCTTTCATGTAATAGATCACTCCATGGTGGTACAGCACAACAAAACACGCTATAATATAACAGCACATCATTAAGTGGACATGGATTTCATGGTTAATAGGATATAAAGGTCATCACTTTAATGAGGAAACATCCTCAATAGTCAATAAACAACTTCCATACACAGAGAAATATCTGGAATATGGCCTGATACACAGTATGCACAGCTTCTCTCTTAGTGGAGACGGTAAAGAGAAGAGTAAGGGTGACCTCTGCAGGATAACTTCTCCAAAACTTGCACCAGTTCAGAAATTACCAGAAAAATATGGGTGTCATAAAAGAAACTGTGTCTGAACTCCTTTTTGCTAAAATGACTTGGGGGTGTCAAGAATCTGTTACCTTTAGGGGCCCGACGTTTTTTGGCTTCAGTGGGAACAGTGAGCTGAAATACAAGAGATACAACACAAACAAGAAAATAAGTAACCACATACTGTTCTCTTTACACACCAACATGCAAGATGGGCTTTATGTCAAACACACTAGTGTTGTGTCAATAACAGTATGTAAAGTGAAAGTAAGTCCCAATTCTCAATTATTTATTCCCTAAGAATGGCAATATCAGATTTTGTCTCTAAAAACCCCAACCTGTAAATATATTTGTGTACACTGTGCAGATCATCCTGCTCAGACACTCTTGAAAGATGTCGGGCTAACTTACGAAAATGTTTTAATTGTTTATGATCCTAAACTAACAAACAGTTGACTGAGCTGTAGCATCAAACTGGCACAAGAGTCCAACCATCCACTATACACCATGGAAAAATTATGTATACTTCAACAATTTTTTGGGCCTGGACAAAGTACCAAGGCTTGCAAAAAAGAGTGAATGCTTTCCATTGTATTCTGTTTATTGTCTTGAGGTACCTTTTAAGCAAACAGCTGAGGGTATTTTTGTGGGAAGAGTTACTGTGATCCAGGTCTGCTCAATATCAAGGTAGGCTACTGACAGGACACAATTTGGGAATGAATGAAACGAACTGCAGCTTAGATTATCCTCTTAGAAAAACATGTCTGTACTCGTACCGGTGATGTTAACGCACATCTTGAGGAAAATCCCTTTCTTTAGACCCATACAGCAGTCATCAGCTGTAAAACAGGTACCCTATGCGCAGGTAAACACGCGCATGCGCAATCGAAATGTTATGCTGAGGATTTTCTTCCCATATTGGCTCACTTGTGGATTCTCTAAGAACATTTACTGACATTTTACTGAAAAAACAGTCTCTGTATAGCATCACCTCATCATGCTGGATATTTCAACGGTACCACAGAGGAGATTTACGTTAATGTAACTTCAGGATAGCAGGACAGTAAATAACGTTGTCCTATCTAAATCAAATTAGGTGTCAATAAATGGCAACAATTTACATTTGCACGGTTCCACTACCTTAGATTAATGCTGCTAGCTTTTACCTCGGGTTATAGCTCGCTAAATGAGATTAAAGGTAGAGTGTAAGGCAAGTTAGCAGGACGATAATCAACTTAACTGCGACTTATAGTCGGTTAGCCGCACAGCTAACATTCAAATAAAGACTCTTGTTGGAGGGCTCTGAAAACAAAGTCGCGCCGTATTGTCTTCAGAGTTATCACAGAATGACTATATCAAGAGGAGTATTTGTGTTTACTGGAGAAAAGGGGGGACAATCTTTGGGTTTGCACTCACCGCTGTGGATCTCTCCTCGTCCGCCATCTTGGGATGAGCCACACTAGAAGCTGTTGCTATGGATACAGCGCTGGAATGCGGAGGAGTACCCTTACGTGCTCATGAGCGCGTGCACAGCTCTCAATGAGCCCACCAGTGACACACGGTTAAGAAATAGTCCTAGTTACATAAAATACACTGTCATTGACGCCATTCAGATAAAACTGGGTCAGCTCACTGGATTATTTTAGGTTCTAGACTGTGACTCATGATAAAGTGCCTGTTGATTTACAAAAAAAAAGATCAGATTTCAAGAGTACATTGGTTTTGTACACAAAAATATCAATCTGAACTCATTAAATAAATACACCAGATTAAAAAGTGATTCTTTACCCTTAAACCAAAAATAGATTGATTATAAAGTAGCATTAAATAGAAATACACTTCCAAGGTCTTAGCCTCTGATACTTTAAAAGCACAGGACTTGAGTTGCTTTACAAAAACACACCTAGGCACGTCACATCTGCGTTTTCAAGTCTCTGCCTCCTTTGGTATAAGAATGCAGCAGACCATAAGTAAGAGGTGTTTTCATTCACACATGACTTCATAGTAACAATAGGTTTGTACCTCTGCAGAGCAAACAAGCCAATACTTCAGAGACTGATGAGCACTCAGAGACACGACTGAATGACTGAAATAACAGGATATGCAGTAATGGTCTGCAGCATGTGTCTATGTGTACAGAATAAAGCTGATTCATATTCAGCATGCAATATTTAATCATAATCACTTGGAATGCTTTATCCTGATACTCAACAAGATCTGTATTTCAAGAGAAAACCATTTATTCAGTGTTAAGACTGAGAACCAGTTTCTGAAAATATCCCTCCAACATAAACTTTAAATAAGTCAACAATATGTACAACATTTTGATCAAATAGAAACTTCACCATATGATATTTTTTTCGATGAGGACAAAGAAAGTAAGACAAAAAACTTTTAACCAACAGACATAGGTGCAAATCCCCATACAATGGTTGGGTTAGATTTGCTGAAAGGCACTGAGTTTACCCCGAAGAAAATGATTCAGTAACATGAAGTTAGGGGAAAAAAACAGCATATCTATATATCCACAAGTAAAAACATACAAATTCAATTCCTACAAACATGTAGGTGCAGCTAGAAAATACAAGGTATCTGTAACTATCCAGTAACACTTGAAAAATCAACAGATAAAAATAGTGTTCTCTCTGCTCATTATTTTCCTACGTTAATAAGTATTAACTGTATACTATCTCAGTAATTACATCAGAAAATCTGCACCATCCTTTATTTTGATCGCAGCAGACTTCAAACAAAACTACAACAGTGTTCTGAACAAGTCAACAGAATTAAAATGTGCCATTCCAGTTTTCTTCATTTGCCTTCAGACGAGCCTTTACTCTCACTTCAACTACGTCAGTTAGCTGATTAAAGCAGAAATAAAATAACCTTCATCCCAACACCTTCATTAATCATCAGCTCCTCCTATACAGTGTTATACACATGAGCAAAATCACAAACAGCAACTCTGCTCCAAACAAGTGTAACAGAATGCATACAGGACACAGAGCTTGCAGCCTGATTTCCTGAGAATAAGTAACTGTATTAGTGGATCCTGCTGTATTTTACTGTAATGTAAGTGGTTAAAGTCAAAGGGAATAGTTGATCAGGTACCCTGTGCTGCTCATGTGTCTGTAAGGACAATATGTGAATGTATGAACCCAACATTTTCTGATGATAAAACATTCTCATGTGAAGTATATTTTCAATACAATCCCAAATATTCTGTGCTTTGTTTTTGAGGGCCTTGTATATTCCCAAATTAACAATAAGATAGGAACTTTGTGAAACTTTTCAGGATCATAAATAACGACAGGATAAAAATTAATTTACTTCTATTTGCTTTTCCAGCAGCTTTAAATGTACATCTTTAGGTTACTGTCACCCACCCTTCTTCTATTTTGATTTATTGTGATTCATAATTTTTTCCTTGTCAGCCTGATTCTTAATATGCGGTGCTTTATGTGCAGTGAAGTTTTAATACCAAGACACAGAATATGAGTCATAACTTGTCAGACCTCCAGCTTAGTGTCTGTAGAAGTTGAAAATGATGACAACTCACTTGGCTGATCTCCCTAACATACTTGTTTTCTGGCTCTGTTCATTAAATTAACAAATTTCCCCATTCCCCACAGTGACAGAAGAATGTTGCTTTCTGGCTAGTCCTGTATGATGGTTGAAGCAGAAACTAGCTTGAGGCACTGAGGAATCAGTCTAATTTCCCTAGTTCCTGCCAAACGACCCCTGAGCAGCCGAACTGACGGCGCTGGCTGCAGCGCCCTGTACGGTCCTGTTGGTCAGGACCCCGCTAGAGAACTCCTGCTGGGCCTTAGTGAAGCTGGCACCCGTCCTTCTGTACTTCCCATGGACCTGGAGGAGGAAAGGGAAACAGATTTAATAATACAGACACAAGTTTATAAACTGTGTTGAATTCAGGCCCTGGCCGTCGCAGGAGCTCACAGTGAAAGTCTTTTTAGTCTGTAAACTTGGAGGACATCTAAAGCTGAGGTCAAGTAAAATCTGAGGGGAAGAAGAAGGTGATCCTGGTGATTAGAGCAAATCAGAAAGTTTGCAGTACTCTTAACTCATTTAATGTGAAGTGGTTTGATTTTTCCCAAAGAAGGAATTGGTGATTGTCCATCACTGTGGGAAGACCAAACATCTCAGACATCCTCTATGAATAAAATAAAGTTTGCGTACTTCACTGGCTCTTAAAGCTCCAATAGGGAGTTTTTTTTTGGCATTTATGAAACAAACTGAAATTCAAATTGTTGCCTTTTTATATCTGATATCCAAAACCAAACATCGAGGTTCTTGGCAGTGCAGCTGAAGAAACAGACCTGTTGTTATGATAAATGAGATTCATTTGATTGTCAAAAGTCAGCAGGATAAGATTGCCTGTATGCTAGAGTAAATATTGTTATAGTATGTTTTCTTAATGCTTAGGGTAAACAAAACAGCCCTACACAGGGACAATTAAGTATTCATTCTTGTCTCCTTATCCTGTGTACCTTCCTTTAGGTCACACTTCCTGAATCAAATGTCGACAGATCCAGCTTCCTCACTTTCTTCGAGTGTTTCTGCACCTGCTTTAACCTTCAACTATTTCTGAATCTTATTTCTCTTATATTGCTAGGTTGTCTGGTTATTATGTTGCAGCTGCTTTTCCAAGTTAACCACATTTACGTCTGTTATTCTGTATGATACTCCATGTTTGGTTATCTATTTCAGACATGTTCAGAAACTTGTTCATTAATGAGGCTGCATTTTGCATTAAAATAACACAATCAAGGTTATGTTGCCTGTGCACAGACACAAAGTAATGTTTGTATTATCACAGCATACCATCTTTAGTAGGACAATAGCCAGGAAGGCATTCACGGTGAAAAAACCAGCCACTACCATCATGACCACAGCAACGGCCAAGTTTATGCGGATCATGGTAATTGCTGAAATCCATCCGCTGCCAACAACAGAGACACACAAACAAACAACAGCAATTAACAGCGAGTGTGCAATGCATTAAAAATAGAACAGATTCACTGAATCACACAGTATCTAAGCTGAACAAATGACCAAAGAGGAAGCATGAAGTTAGAAAAGTGAATAATGATGACTGAGAATGAAAAACCTCAAATATGACATGATCCAGAGAAGAAACCCAAAGAGAAAAGTCCCACACTTACAAAGCAGCAACCCAGACAAGCTAAGGCAGCAGGAATCTGTCAACGAGATGCCAAAGAGGAGAAACACAGCAAGAAAAGACACACAGACACATACAGAAGGTCTGAATGGAGAAACATTAAGAACATTTAATATGGATGTACCTTACTGATGGAAACAGAAACTGATGGTTAGCAATGATGACAGTCCCAACATTTAGACCACACCTTGACTTTCACTCATCATGCAGGTAAGTGTTCACTTTTCAAAAGGTTCCTACTGACCTGTTTCCCCACTTGGGGATCCCTACTGACTGAATGACGTAGACAACCACTTGGAAGAAAAAGACAAAGAAGAAAAAGAAGAAGCTGAAGGAGCTGTCCGACCTGGTGAGGAGAGAAAGACAACATAACACTGTAAAACACAGAGTGAAAAGCAAAAATAAGTCAAGACAGTTTCTTTCATTTAAAGCCTCTGTTTCTGACTGTTTGCCTGATGAACATCTTCCACTTAAATGCTGCAAATACAATTTTTTGGCAAGTCTGACAGTGTGAACCAGGGCTGATTGTCTCCTTAGCTGTGTTTATTTACCAAAAGCTTGTATTGAAAAACATAAAATTAAATGCAAGTTTTTCCTCAGACTAAAGTCACAAAAATGTCACTAAAACCTTTTTCCAAGTGTTTTGGGGCAGTGAAAGTCTACACGCTCAGTAAAAGCATTTAAATGCTCAGAGAAAGCATTTTTAAAAGGTGAGTGGAAAAATGTAATTAAAGCACTTCTCTTCAAGGAAGAAAATTGGATAAAAGCATTTGCTAATATTTTTCATTGAGACTGCTGAGCACAGAGTGGCTGCTCTTTACTTGCTTAAACCGTTCTGGCTAAGATGGAGGAGGAGAAGGAAGCTGTTCTGAGTGTCTGAACAAGCTTAAAAACACAGAGGAAAATCCTGTAATGAGACCATGTGTATGTCCCTATTTCTCCTGTCTGCACTGCAGACAGCTAAATCAATAAGTAATGCAGCCCAGTAGTACTTCATGATCGTACCTGAAGGCCCTGTAGACAGGCCTGTACCAGCAGATGAAGGACACGGGGGTGAAGAGGATGAACCAGAGGATGGAGAGACCAAAGTCAACACCATTTGCAGCGTCTGCTGTGAAGTAAGCCAAGCAGGCCAGCACATTGAGGAAAAGGGTGGCACTGTGGACTACAGAGACACAGAGGAAATCTTTTAGCTGTCATCAAGGGTTAGGGTCAAAGTTAGACTGCCCCCTGAAGGAATTTCTAGATGTGAGTGATGAGTTTGTTAAATCTGTTATATGTTACAGGCAAAAACTGCTGCATTTAAACAGCCTTGACAACAACATATAAAAAAATAATCATTTTTAGGTCACACATGAACTTTCATTACATATTCTGGGAGCCTGTTGGGATTTTTTTGTCATCTAATATCAGATTTCCTAGTGTTGAGCAAAGACTCCATGAAGGAGTACATACACATCCAGAGGTAGTACATTCTCTTGCAGATCCTGCGGTACTCCTCTGGGATATCTCCCTCAAAGTCCTGATAGAAACACGGCTTCACAGGGAAGAATTTTGGAAGGGGAGGCCAGTTGTTCTCTCTCTCTGATAAACAAAAAAAATCTGGATTAATATAATACATCTACATTTTTAGTGTTTACAAGTCCAACAGAGGTTGAAATGCAACATCTGAAGACGGTTTTAACTTCTTACCACCCATGCTCGTTCTGCCTCCACTTCTGTTCTGCAGCTCCTGCTCTTTTCGCTCCAGCTCAGCAGCTTTCCTCTCCAGCTCCTCCTGCTGTCTGATCAGGTTAGCCTGGCCAGCAGCTGCATTTGCCTAGAGATCAATAAAATAAAGCTACAGTCACGACACTGTGTTCAGTGTTGCCCCAGGCCATACAGATCCCTGCTCCATTTTCTATCTTAGAGGACATGTGATTCATGAACTCAGTTAGCTTAGTGCAGTACAGCCGTCTTAATTCAAAACAGAGGTATTGTTTTGTTGTTCTATATATTTTTTCTTTATTTACCATTGTCCCATTTTATAACTTTTTACAGTTCTCTTTAGTTATTTATTGTGATTGTTTGGCACCAAAATGCCATGGCAAATTCTTTCGAAGAAAATTACTGTCTATTCAAAACCAAATTTGAGTTTAGAACCACCATTTAAACTAAATTTACATAAAACATACTGAAACTAACAGTGTTAATACAGTTTTTGACTAATTACATGTTGTTCTAAGAAGATATGGCACAAAGGAACTCTGTAAATGTGATATTTAACAAAAAGGAAATGTAAAATATATATACATTTTCCAGTTTCACTTTTGCTGGGGCGACACCACAGTTTCAGTTGTTCATTTCAAGTGGTGCCTACTCCTGTGTGAATCACTGCTAGCTCTCAAATCCATATGTACTCTGTTAATTTAGTCTTTACGAATGCATACATAGTCTAAAATGCAATTTAACATCCCACTTGGGGGGCCAAGTCTGACTCACTTGTGCAGTCTGCTCCACAGAGGTCTGAAGGACAGCAGGTTGAGAAGAGGTAGCCGTGATGGGGATGGTTGTGCCCGAGTGGGTTCCCTATGAAACAAGAGAAGCAAAACAGGTTCTTAACTCATATGACCATCAGCAGCAGTTATACTGACAACCACCACAGTACTAACCGTAGAAGATTCAGCAAAGGGGTTGAAATCCTCCACGATTTCAGCGGCTCCACTTGTTGCTTGTGTGATGGAAGCATCCTGGAAAAAAAAAAAAAAGAGTCCATCTCTGTGTTATGACTTAAAGCAGAGGAGTAATGATGACTATCCGGGGCAGTATGTTGAATAAATAGTGACCCAAAGAGTTCTAACTTGTGCAAGAGAAGTACCTGAATGTTTCTTATATTTATACCACATTAACTAATAATAGACTCTTTGCCCTCGAAAATACACTTTCTTTAGTTCAATCAAACAAAAAGTAGGCTATTTTCTTTTGATACGGTATGCCACAAAGATACGATCTCCTCCTTGACATGCGAGAAAACACTGGGGATGTACTAACTACAATCCTTAAAAACAAAAACGCTCATAAAGATCCTAAATGCATCAAAGTGCGCCATCATTTCTGTTAGGTTGACCAAATCTGGTTGAATATCTGTCCTTTTGTGTTTATCAATGGCGGTTTAACATGACTCACAGTTATTGGCTACATATTTCTAGCAGGCACCTGTTCGCGGCTCTGCTCACCTGCGCAGGTAGGTTAACGTCTTGGTAAAGCGTAAACACACAGTTTTAGACTACAACTATAAAACTAACACTCAAACAACCTACAACGTGTCGTTTAACATAAAAGTGACGATTCTTTGCCAGGAAATACTGAAGCCAAACCGGGCCAAACCCAGTAACCAACCAAACAGGTTTTTTTGTAGCAGCATATCTCCTTTAGACTTAACTTTACACGAAAAAAGCTGCTAAAACGCGAAAAATAAAACCACACACTCACTTGGAAAGGATTTACGTCCACTGGATCCGCAAAAGGGTTGCTGTCAAATCCCGACATTGTGGACAAAAGTTTATCTTGTGTAAAATAAACACGACCGCTTCCCGAGTCTCCGGTAGTGGCTGCTCCTCCTGACGGCGACTGCTGCGACGCTGGGCCTCTGCGCATGCGTGGGTTGATAGGCTGCGTCACGGGGGGAGGATGTTCCCAAGTCACTCCTAATCAATTAAGTGAACTTGTCTTATTTTTAGAAAAATGTCAACTGGTTTCCACTGTGGAGTTCTCGTGACAGTCTGACTTTGAGAAACTTTATTTCCCTCTGACATAAGATCAAGTCTGTGGTGGTTAACAATCAAACGGCGACATTTTTTAAGCTTTATTTTGGTCCAGCAGGAGATCAAGTTGCCTTCAGGGACTGTCGTAATTATGGGAAAAGTTGTGGTCTGGATAATCTTAAAACAATTAGGAAAATCTCATTGTCATATGTTGCTTTTAGCATTACAATCTCCATAAATACTGAATATTAATGCCAGAATAGGTGACATTATAGTTATTGTACCCCTTTAATCTGCATTCAAAGGACGGTTTCTGGCTGATATTGGGAGGCAAAGAAATGAAGGGAATGTTCAAAATGTGTGATAATAAATATTGAATTGCCTATTAAGTTTGAGCAGCATGAAGGAGTCTGCTGTGTTAACTGTAGAGCTGTTAATTGAGTGCATTATTTTGCAATGCAAAAACTAACATTGGCATTGTACATGACAACATAACACAAATCACTACTGTGAATTACCTTAGAAAAAAAAACATAAAATTAAAGTTTTATTGCATTGCCTTGATGGAGACAACACATCCCCAAATTGATGCTGCTTTCAGGCAGTAAAAATGTACATGAAACCTGTGGATAATGAAATCTGAAGTGAAGAGAGAAGCTTCAGAAAATTGCAAATAAAACCAAGGTATAACTGAAACTATCCAAGGAGTAAAAATAGAAATTTGAGGCAGAAAAAGGGAGTTCAGGGTCTTCCTCTTAATAAGTCTGAATAATCTGATCAAACAGATGCCACTCTGGTGGTCATTACTGGATGACTGGAAATACTAAAACAGTGTGTGACGGTAGTTAAATTAGAGAAGAGTCATGAGTCTCCAATTCACCACAATATTTCTATTATCAGCTAATATTAGCCTCAGCAAGCTGCACAAATGCTGTGTGTATTGAATCTAGCAGGAGTATTGCACAACAGTAAAGCAATCCTCTTTGATAAGTGAGGAAGACTCTTCCATCAACTGATGTGATAAGAAGGCTTATAATGTTGAATTTGCATGATAGCATCGTAGTAGTCGCCAATTTGGTGTTTTTTTCTGGGAGCATGAGTTAATTACTTTTAAACAGTACACAATTAAGAAAGTCAAAATATGTGCTCAACTGAACTTCCACAATTTTCCCAATAATAAGAAACTGCTGATTAATTCAACACAGGCCTGCAAAATAATAAGCGCAGAAAGTTCACCAAACCATTAACATTCTTAATAATAAAGACAAAAGTCGTAGTGATTTTATATTTTTGCTTGATTGCTATTGAGCAAACACTTCAGGACAGGAGGTGGGGATGGGTTTGGGGGTTGGAGGGGTAACAATAGAGTTCAATGGAAGAATGGCATTTGTCCTCTATACTGTACATATGATCTGTACTGTACATTACATTTGTTGTATGGCTGTTAAGCAGTGAATGCAGGGGTTTAATAATACACACAGAACATTCTTTACAGAGCTGGGATCCCCTTGGCTGGAATACACACCAGCTAAATTGGTCCCTTTGATGGCGGTATTTTCCCTTGTAAGGGGGAAAAAAGCAGCACAAAAACTTTAAACACATGGAGTGGTTTTCTCTTATTCACACATACACACAATCGAGCGTAAGGGCTTGGTACAAGCACACACTCACACACACACACACACGCTCATCCACTGCCCAAATCGGTACATCTCTGTCCAAGATACTCAGAAAAAAAAAAACACAAAAGATAAATATCTGACTTCAACTACCCAGCAGAGGCTGGTGTTCCGGCTTTGTACAGTATTTATACCTGTATATTATATGCTATAAAGATTTCTGTGACATTAAAATTCATTAAATAAGGGGAAAATAAACTCGTAATAACAGAGCAACCACTGTTTACACTGATTGTTATGAACTGTAAACTTACAAAGCAGCTAATATTGTGAGCTTAAGGTTCACTGTAACATCCGTGACGCCTGACGTTGCCTGATTTCTTTGTATTCATGTAGTACACTGCCTTAGCTTTCCAGCTCTGTAACTTTCCCTGATGCTGAGTGGTCTTCTGCGTATCCCATCATTCCCTTTTCTCTGTCCTCCTGCTCAGTGCGTCTCCTCTTGGCGCTGGGTAAAAAGCTGCCAAGGCACTGCGAGAGCATGGGTGGCAGTTTAGTCCACAGAAGAGGAGCCACTTCCACTGAGTCATGTCCCTCTGTCATACAAACCTTCTTCGGTAACACTGTACACGGCACTTGGGAGACTTCTTTGCAGACTTCAACAAAGAAAGGCTAAGCAAGAGTGCTTTGAGGAGTAGAGATCAGTCGCCATCGCGTTACCTCCCATTCAGAGCTTATATTGCTGCCAGGGAGTTAAGAAAAGGAGTGCTTTGGTGTCCCAGTGTCCTTCATACCATGAACTCATTATTACCGTATAATACCACCTTCGGCGGTATGTCTGAAGGGTCCCTGCCGTGGCCTTCACCTTCTCTGGAGTGCCTCCTAAATGAATGCTTGCCCCCTCTAAGTTTCTGTTTGCCCCTCTCTGGATTGTAGGTGCCTCTGCTAATAAAGTGCGGGACTTCATCATTCAGGACTTCCTGATCTCCTGTGGGGCTCATTTCCATGCTGGATGATTGAGACGCATTCAGAGCCTGAGCCTGGGCTGAACCTGAGGGAGACTTATTGTGGAAACGAAAGCGCCGGCCAGTAGAAGAGGATGTTGGCTGGAAGTGTGATGAAGAGGAGTAGGAGGAAACGCTGGAGCAAGAGTCAACAGAGTCCACGGAGTCAGGCTGCCTGCGGAGAGCGCGGCGGCGGGGGCTTTGTACATCAGACCTCCGGGGCCAGGGGGACGCCACCATGGGACCTCTTTCTGCAAGGGGAGGCCAAAACATGTAAGGCTTTTCATCATTTATATGAAAGGCGAGCAGAGATAATTAATATTCGATGTTACATTTTCTTCACCAACTTTGTTACTTTAACGTCTGTATCAAGTTGAATTCATTCTTCTCCTTTTATATAATTTTTTAAATCATTTTTTTTTCTCAAGGATACTTCTACTTGGATAAGAATGACTTCACTTTGACACATCTGTGAAATGCGGTTTTGTTTTTGTGACTTTGTTTTTGCAAGACGAGACATACCAGAGAAATCAGAAATGGTTCCTTCAGAGTCCACATTGAGGTTTTCAGAGCTGTCAGCTGTACCAATAGAAGCCTCTGACTCCAGGGTCTCATCATCTGAAGCCCGTGGTTCCAGAGCCAGCATCTCAAAAGTCAGCTCCTCTCTGCAAAAGCAAACGTGCAGATCAAGAAATGAGTAAGGCACAAAAGATGAGGCAAAAATTATTGTAATAAAAATTGAGAACAGATTTACTTTTCTTTCTGCAGGTTCTCAATTTGCTCCGTCAACACTCTCTCCTCCTGCTGCATGGCTGCCTGCTGATGCTCAGAGATTTCTGGGAAAGAGTCTGCTCTCTCTTCACCGTCACTCTCTGTTATCACGGCGTCAGGCACAAATGGCAACCGTGGGCTAACCGGAGGTGAGGGTGTGTGGTAGCTGAGGCGCTGTACATGACCTTTTCCCTAAAGAACAAATCAGAGGCAGGTGTTGTCTTCTCAGTGTCGTATAAGTTTTACAATGAAACGATGAAAACAGCTGCCGCACATTTCACCACTCTGAACTAAAAGCTACATAATGGCACATGCCATGACTAAACCATGAGGAATGACATGCAAAGTTCAAAAACAGCACAGCAGCATGAAACCACTGATCAAACCCAAAGATAGATACAGCACGTGATGCACAAAGGTTACCTTTTTGGCTGCATTTGGCTGCTTAAAGTTTCAATGAGAAGAAGAGAGAATAAAAATCAGTAAGATTCATGAAGATCAGATTTCTCTTCCTTAGTTTTTAATCTGGTTACTGTTGTGTTATCTTCAATAAGTTGTGGTAAATGACTAAAGTGACAAGTTTTCTAGTACCTGAAGTGAAAATAATAAAACTGGTACTAAAGGAACTTTAAGTTAGTGATAATTTTGTCTCATCCGTGGACAAAGCAGTCAAATATTATGTTCATTGTAAATATTTAATGTGGAAAATCTAAAATCAGGACTGTTTCCTCAGCTGCACTGCTGATCTCGACCCTCTCAGACCAGCTTCAGGCATTAACATTTACAGCATTAAAACCATCAGTTTTATTGCTGATGGTCTTGTTTGCTTTAGTATATGATAAAAATACATTAATATGAACATAAGTCTATTTCATAAACATAAAAAACTCCTCATTGGAGCTCTATGTGGGAGAAATTGCACTATGAACAAAATGCTACATGAGATAAACCAGGGAGGAAAATATTGACTGATTGGTATTTATAGCAAAAGGAGTTCATTTTTTTTAAATAGAATGAATTTAGACCTTTTATTGTTATGTGTGCCAATCTTGTGAAGTTACTTTAAGGGCAGCTTTTTGATAAATATGACAGTGAATAATATTCAGTATGACTTCATCTAGATTTCTTGTAATAATGTATCATTTCTTATCCATACTGGCAGATTATACTGCCATGATTAATATTTACCAAAATAATCTCTGTTTAATTTAAGCAGAAACAGAAATATGGTATCTCAAATGTTCGTTAGCATTGTGTAAATAAAACCAAAACTACTTCTTCTACTGAGAGAATCTCATGTTGCATAATTACTTGCATAAATTAAAAAGAAATAATCATATAAACACACAAACAAGGAAAATAAAACAAAAATCAAGACTCTGTAAAGACATGACTCATGCTTTGAGGGATGGAGTGGATAGATATACATTCGGATGACATGAGACTGAGCAGTGATCATCACCAACCACAACAACATCACCACTGGATGATAGTTTAAG